GTATGGAGGGTGAGAAACAGGGGTCATACCATTTTTGGTCAAGAATTGTCGTACAGACAGGGCTGTGTGAGCAGGGGCATTGTCATGATGGAAAACCAGTCACCCGACTGCCACAAATCTGGCCGCTGAGCTCCACAATTTCTTCAATGGTCCGTCGTCGATCTTCCTTGATGATTTCACGAATTTTTTCAACATTTTCATGTGTTCGGGATGTGGAAGGATGGCCAGAACGAGGTTTGTCATCAATTGACATTTCACCATTTTTGAAACGGGAAAACCACTCAAACACTTGAGTTTTCCCCATAGCATCGTCCTTGTACGCCGTTTTTAACATTTCAAGAGTTTCTGTTCCACTTTTCCCGAGCAAAAAGCAGAATTTCACCGCCGCACGCTGTTCACGAAAATCAGCCATTGCAAAAACGACGATCACACAAAACAGTTGTCACTATAAACTCTGCCGAAACTAGTCCTTACCTTCTGAAGCAACGGTAGTCGGCTTATCGACTCAGGAATGTTAGCTCTATGCGCTCATAGCGGCAAAACGCGGTACTACAAAAGCTCTGCCCACAAAAAAAAAGTTAGTTCGGTTTCTTTTGGGTACCCCATCGTATACTTGAATGCCATCTCCTATCTATCAAAATATGGTCTATTTGATTGTGTATCTTCTCATCAGATGTCCAAGTATTTTTATGGATGTTACGATGTGGGAACATTGTACTTTTGACAGTAAGATTTTTTTATTTACATAGCATTATACTTCAAAGGACAGAACCCATTTTTTTCTAAGTATATCTTCTCAGATGAGGAAGGGTAGATTATTAGTTCTGTAATTTCTCAACTCCACCACTTTTGAACTGTGTAGGAATAGTTTGTAGGTAGTCAGAATGGGGACAGAGAACTCTACTGAGTATGTTGTGACATCACTTATTAATAACAATGAAAATCACTGGCTTCTTCACACATGAAATAGTTTCTTCAGTCTTCCAACCACACATTAAATTACAGAGTTCGTTTACTGAATCTTTTCCCTATTTCATCTAATACTGCCAGAAGATAGCCCATTGCAGCCAGGGTTCCCTCCTCTTTTTTGGTATGTGCAGATGTAAAAGTAAAAGGTTAAGCTGTCCCTCTGTTTAACTAATTCAGCATTATGCCATGAAGACATATGGGGGAGTGGATGTACAGATCCACATTTTCTTGACCTTGGCACTAGTTCGAGATGAGTGGTTAGTTTCATGCCCCAGTCGCTTTAACCCTGGGGAAGGAGCCCCCAGTACCCATGNACTCCACCACTTTTGAACTGTGTAGGAATAGTTTGTAGGTAGTCAGAATGGGGACAGAGAACTCTACTGAGTATGTTGTGACATCAGTGAGACGGTGTCTCACGGTGTTGTCGCTTGCAGATTTACCTATACTTTTTCTTCAACCCTGAAGATGGGGGCGACACGTTCCTCCGAAACGTCGGTTAACACCACATATACACGGCGCCAAATCCCAGAAGACTGCTTTCTTCATTTACACTAACCTGGCTCACATATGTGCAGATGTATGCAATAAAGGCAAAGCTGTAAAAGCGCAGGAAAACATCCAGTAGACTGAAAGGCCAGAATATTGCTACTTCCCTGACCAACATCCAAACACAAACTGAACTTCACATCAGTCTTTATGTTACCAAATTGCCACATGGTGCACTACTTACTATGTGATACAATGAAGTCTGTGATATGAAGTTTCACATGTATGAGCTGAGCTGTTGACAGCAGGGTTAACTACAAATCCACATTTCAGAGTACAGTAAACTCCCAAGTTCTGGAATTCTCAACCATCCAGCAAATGTATCAAAGAAAATATAATATTTCTTACAAAAATTTGCAATGGCCCAGTCCTCCATTCTTCCTCATGCAGGTGCCATTACAGCAGAGGCTAACTGAAATTGTGATTTACAGTACAGTATATGTATGCAAAAACTTTCATCCATCAATCCCTTCCCATCTGGAAAAAACTCAAATGCAAAAACCAATGTGACAATGTGTTCTGCCTTGTATTCAGTTTCTGTAACATTTTATCACACAAAAACCAGATTAATTTAAATGGGACACCCCACTTCCCACCTACGCCTCACAAGAAGCAGTGATTCTAACAGATGGCACTCCCCATGTGACACATCAGTGATTGCATTGCCTTCGTCAATCATTAATTTACTGTTCTCTTATTTGTTGTGAGCTACTTGGACTTTTCTTCCAATGACCATTGACACTCCTTGAAATGTCCAATCCATTTGTACCCTACACCCTGATCCATGTACAGGGTCCGGCAAATCGACCTCCCGTATTTGGAGAGGGCGCTGTGTGAGTTGTGGTGGGGATACAGCGGCGGAGGGGGTATCGATGGATAGCGGTATAAGTGCCATTTGCAGTAGTCGCAATGACGTGGCACGGTGAGCATCGTGCGTTTGTTGTGGAAGAGTATATTCGTAATGGTGAATCGGTGATTACTACTCAGTGAGCATTTCGCATTCGGTTCGAACTTGGCCGACATGATCCTGTTCCGGATAGAAAAACTATTGACGTTTGGGTATCAAACTTTAGAGCAACAGGTTCTGCACTGAAAAAGAAATCGCCTGGCCGACCTCGAACCGTAACAACGCCGGAAAATGTGGCGCGTGTGAGAGCGTCCATCCAGCAATCTCCAAAGCGTTCAGCACTTAAACATGCAGCTGCCCTGGTATTGTCTGATAGGTGTGTAAGAAGAATCCTGCACAGAAATCTACACATGCACCCATACAAAATGATGGTTACCCAAGAATTAAGTGAGAGAGATTTTGAAACTCGCAAAGCTGCGTGTCAGGACATTCTTCAGAACATTCCCTCTGGCACTGTTTTGATTTCATCTGATGAGGCCCACTTCCACTTGTAAATAAACTGTAAATAAACAAAATTTCCGCCACTGGTCAGCAGAAAACCTTCAGGAACTTCACCAACGACCACTTCACAGCTCTTGTGTGACAGTTTGGTGCGCCGTTGCTGAATTTGGTGTGTGGGGTCCTTATTTTTTCGAGGAAAATGGGCTAATGGTAACGGTTATTTCGAATCGCTACTGTCACATGATCGAGACCTTCCTCCGACCTAAGTTAAACCAGTTTGTTGGGGACCATGAAGAGGGACAAGCCTGGTTCCAACAAGACGGAGACACAGCTCACACTTCGTGGCGTTCTTTAGCAATTCTGAGAGAGTTGTTTCCTGGACGTCTTCTCTCTTTGCGAGGAGACATCGCCTGGCCCCCAAGGTCACGCGATTTATCACCTTGTGATTTTTTCTTTGGGGACACTTAAAGGCGCAAGTGTACAAACATCGCCCCACAACCCTGCAAGCACTTAAGGAGGCAATCACCCAGGCAGTGGCTGCCATTCCACCGGAAATGACACGAAGAATTTTGGACAATTTCCGGGAAAGGCTTCGTCAATGTGTGAACAATGGAGGACGCCATTTACCGGAAATAATTTTAAAACCAAGCAATGTAAAACAGAATCGTATTTGTTGTTCACAAATAAAAGTATTTTTTCTGTATCTTTCTTTGTTTGTTTGTAACTGCCTTTTGAAATACGGGACGTCGATTTGCCGGACCCTGTACAACTGCGTGAACACAGAATAACCTAATCATGTCATACGTTTATAAGAAAGTCTTTACCTGTCATATACATACACAAAACTTTATGTTCACTTAGTGAACCAATTCTAACATTCTGGGGTACCATGTTCTGAAAATAATAAAGAACATAAAATTCAATGGATTCTGGTGGATGGTCTTTGGCATCATACAGGAAGATATGTGTAACAAAAGCTGATACATTCACCCGATAAAAGGTAGTCAAATGATGTTTACAGAAAATTACTTAAAATTACATTGATTCCATGGGCATCAAGGAGTCGATGAATGCTTTTGCTCAGTTGAATCTGCTTTTTAATGTTTTTATTTTCACATAACCATAGTATAAACATAATCATGAACTCCAACATGACACACAGTACAATATAACAAAAATAATTCTAATACAGTTATTTATATTTATTTAATCACCACTTCACTGACAATCAAAATTAAATTCAAAGTAAGCTGGATCAAAATTATGTATACGGACGTAACCGTCTTCACCTCCACTACTATAGCTCTTCCCATCTGGATGGAATGCAACACTATTAATAGGTCCAAAGTGGCCTTTTACACGGCCAAATTCTTCCTCAAATACTAAATGGAAAAACCGGGAGTCAAACTTTCCAATGCGTGTTGACGTTGTGGTGACATCCATTGCATCTTGACCACCACCAAGCACAACCTACAACATTCAATTTTCATTGTGGCAGAAACAGAGAAGTTCATTACAGTTATAGTAAAGTATAGATATATAAGGAGACAAGGGCTAAAATGATTTAGGTCTCACAGCAATGGTTATGAAGAGTTCCATCTTCTGGGATATAACGTCATACAAAAAGTAAAGCTAACCCTGTAACAGGCTGTGGAGGCCCACAGTGCTGTGAGACATCCGAGGCTCCCACATTTCTGGACAGTCAGTCCACAGATGGCAATGTGGTTGTCAGCCTTTTTTTTTTGTTCGCTTAGTGGGTGGTGGAGTCCAACTGGGTCCACTCGGCATGGCGGCCACTGATTGGCCTATTGTAGCCTGCTCTGGGTGAGTATGATGATGGAGAATTTGGTGGAATGAAGATTGGCAGGGGAAACCGAAGTACTCGGAGAAAATCTGCCCCAGCGCCACTTTGTCCACCACAAATCCCACTTGATCGGACTTGGGCCACCGCGGTGGGAAGCCAGTGACTAACCGCTTGAGTTATGGCGCAGCCTCAGGTTGTCAGCCTTACACACCAGCCGCCCTTTACCCCCCCCAGGAAGATTCCTGGTACTCATTTCTGTTAGAGGCTAAGTCGACACCAGGGGCATAGTGCAGCTGGAAGGAGTAGCTAAATTGAAAAAATCGAATGACCTCACTGGGAATTGAACCCCCAACTTTCTGGCTTGTAGCATAGTGCCTCAACCAAGTACTCCACCACATCCCCCCCCCCCTGTAATGTTATATAGTCCACTGAAAGTCAACTGACATATCAGAGGAACATGTTGCCTCCATCTTCAGGGTTAAAGAGTGAGCGAAGCAAGAAACTAGCACGAAGCAGGCAGAAAGCAAAGCAGAGATGTGGGACTATACAGGAACATAGATGAACTTGGACGCCAAGACCAGTCATGTCTTCAATCTGTTTTCCACAGTTCTCCCATGAGCTAATGCAGATGGGCTGCCCTCCGAGGTCCATTTTGTTCCCATATAATCCAATGTCTCTGCAAGGAACTTGCTCTGCTTGCTGTCAGGTTCATGCTGGTTTCTTGAGTGGCTTACTCTTCAACCCTAAAGTTAACTGTGACAAGTTCCTTTGAAACAAAGGTTGACTTTCAACGGACTGGAGGATGTTGATGATCGAACTTTTCAAAGCACAAAAAATGAAATACTGCCAGACAGCACAAAACAAGAAATGTTTCATGAAGATTATTATCTTCTGGGACATGACGCTGTGCAGTCTGTAGTCAGCAGTGATCTACCACACTGCACAATATCACATCCATGAAAACAGTAAACTTCACAGTTGCTATCCTGAGAACACATCAGAAAGCAAAACTGACTTACATGATCAAAGAGAGGTGAGATTGCAGCACTATTCACAGGTCGCTCCGTCTGGTAGGTTTTCAGACACTCTAGCGAATCCATATCAAACAGTTTTGCTGTTTTGTCTTTTGATGCAGTGATAAACATTGTACCATCTTTACTCATCTGCATGTCATTTATAGACCCAACGTGGTCGATATTGCTACGTTCGGTCTTCCCAATCTGGAAAGAAAAAAGAAATAAATCTGTGTTCTCATTACTGTCATGCAAATCTAAGACTAAAAACCGTGTACTTAAACTATACATTAATGAGTACAACATAGTAAAATTTTGTCATAGAAGCCATCTGGCGGGAAGGGACTAAACTAAGGAAATATTACATGGAGTAACTTTAAAACTGTGACAAGTTCTTAGTTTTGTGCTGCAGCCCATTGGGTTATGTATATATCTATAAAAAGTAAAGTAAAACTAGCCCTGTACCAGGCCATGAAGGCCCATAGGGTTGTGAGACGTTGAGGGTCCCACATTATCTAGACAATCGGCTCAAAGGTGGCGGTAAGGTTGTCAGCCTTACGTGCCGGCCATGCTTTACTCCCCAAGAAAATTATTTAATTAATTCCTGGTACTCTTTTCTGTTAAGAGGCTGAGTGAACCCCAGGGCCACAGTGCTGCTGGAAGGATTAGGTAAATTTAAAAAAATCCAATGACCTCATCGGGACTTGAATCCGCGACCTTCCGGCTNTATATATATATATATATACAGTCAACTCTGGATTATCTGTGGGCAGATTAACCGGTTTGCGGCTTAACCGGGGCTACTGAGGCTTTTTTGAGGCTTATATGTTGTATAATATTCATTCACTTTTGTTTCACATGGTGAGTTGTAACACTATTTTCGCACTAGTGTGAACTGAGCTCTGCATTCTTTGGTCCTGTTATGCTAACACAATGTTCTAGGGTAGAGGTGAAAGAATGCAAGGATTTGTGGAAAGTTTCAAGGACAGATACACCGCCCCAGTTGGTCTCTTTGTATCGATCTTCAAGTGCATTAGCAAAATGTCAGGGTGTAAAAGGAAGCATGTTGTGTTAAGTATTCAACAGAAACTCGTGAGCCAGGCTTCAAAATGTTAAGCAGTGACGAAACCGTAAGTTCAGTGGGGGTGCAGCCAGAAGAGTGGGAAGAAAGTGAGAATGAAGAGGTGGACAGTGCTGCTGGTAAGAAAATATCACATGGTGCTGCTGTTAATCATTTGGAATCCTTACTAGACCATCTTGAGTGTGAAGAGAACAGTTTATTAAGTGAAAAGCTAATATTACGTAGGCTTTGTACGGATATCCGTGAAAAGGAAAATGCCACGAAAAAGCAAACGACAATATTTTTTTTTAAGTGTTAAGTGTGAATATTCGTAAAAAGTGTTGGATGTTGTTGAACACTGTGATTGAAATAACTAATTCACACTTCAGTATAATGTAAAAAAAGTATTAAATAGGCCATGAGATGACATAAAAATGAGGTTGAGTAAATTTAATTACAGGTAGGTCTATAGTATTATGAAGGTACAGTATTACAGTACTACTTTTAATAACATTCGTCTTAACTGGGTTTTTGATTAATCGTGATTTCCATGCCCACCATTATCCTGGATAATCGAGAGTTGACTGTATATATATATAAGATGTCTGCGCCACACCCGAACTCTACCATTCACCCGAAACAACTGGTACCATGACTCATCGGACCACGCCACATTTCCAATCCTCCAGGGCCCAATTAGTGACGTCACAAGCCCAGGTGAGGCACTGTGTCTGGTGTCATGGTGTTAACAGAGGCATTCTGGTCGGTTTTCTGCTCCCATAACCCATGGAAGCTAGAGAACGCAGCACTGACCTGCTGGATATGTGTCTGGTACCTCCTGCATTGAATGTGAATGTGATTTCAGCCAGTGTCGCTTGTCTGTTACCACGGACAATTCTAGCTAGACGCCGCTGGTCATGATTATTAAGCACCCATGGTCAGCCACTGCGCTGTCCACGGTGGGTGGAAATGCCTTCCACAAGGTATTCCCCGTACACACGTGACACCGTGGATTGAGGAATGTTGAATGACGGCACAACTTTGGAAATGGAATGTCCCCTCCACCTGGCACCTACTATCATGCCCCGTTCAAACTCCGATAATTCACGTCGGCCTGCCATGAGCAGACTGGCCGGTGTTCAACCTGACTCACGAGAGAACACCTCACAAATGATACTGCTCTGGGCATTCCCAAGCCATCAAGGGATGGTGGCACCATTTAAAAATAAATTTACATACTGCTATCCCATGACTTTTGGCACTTGAGTGTGTGTATATATATACACTCAATTCTCAATTATCCGGGATAATGGTGGGGATGGAAATCACGATTAATCGAAAACCCGGTTAAGACAAATTTTATTAAAAGTAGTACTGTAATACTGTACCTTCATAATACTAAAGGCCTACCTGTATTTAAATTTATTCAACCTCATTTTTATGTCATCTCATGGCCTATTTAATACTTTTTTTTACATTACACTGAAGTATGAATTAGTTATTTCAATCACAGTCTTCAACAACATCCAACACTTTTTACGAATATTCACACTTAACACTTAAAAAAAATTAATATTGTCATTTACTTTTTTGCGGCATTTTCCTTTTTCTGTTGAATACTTAACACAATACGCTTCCTTTTACACCCTGACATTTTGCTAATGCACTTGAAGATCGATACAAAGAGACCAACTGGGGCGGTGTATCTGTCCTTTAAATTTCCCACAAATCCTTGCATTCTTTCACCCCTATCCTAGAACACTGTGTTAGCATAACGGGACCAAAGAATGCAAAGCTCGGTTCACACTAGTGTGAAAATAGTGTTACAACTCACCATGTGAAACAAAAGTGAATGAATATTAAACAACATATAAGCCTCAAACAAGCCTCAGTAGCCCCGGTTAAGCCGCAAACCAGTTAATCTGCCCCCGGATAATTGAGAGTTGACTGTATATATGAGATTATCATTAAAGCCTATATTTCACTTTCTCTGTGATCAACACAATTATCTTTCTCAGTGTCAAATTATTATTATTATTAATGTTACTTCCACTTATGTGTTTCAGTCAGTATTAGTCATCTTCAGGTGCTCACTATGTCAGAAACAAACTAGTGAATTGTACTGCATTTCACTGTCTTTCTGTAAAAACCTGGATCAAGTTTTCCATAAGCTACACAGACATTTATTTTGTGAAATGAACTCTCCAAAAGTATTAAAATGTGTGACATGTTGCGCAATGGAGGACAACCCCTCCCCCCAGCAGTGACGTGGCAGGTGAGTCAGCGCTCCATCACCCCCCTCCGCACGGTGACGTAACACACAACGCAGCCGTGACAAGGGTAACAGGCAACAGCTGTACCCACTGCGTAACAGGCGGGCACTGCGACTATATAAGGGAACTACACTGCCTACAGAGTAAGTTGAAAGTGTATTGGCGGCCGAAGACAGTTCTCCAGTCACCAGTTAATTGCAGTACAGTATTTGTGATACTGCCAATGGCAGTAATGTTGATCTTGTAAATTGTGTTACGAGTTATGAGTCAGCCAGGCAGTCAACCAGCGTTTGCAGTCTAGTATTTGTGATACTGCCGAAGGCAGTAATTGTGAGATTGTAAACTGTGTGACTGTAAGAGCCAATGTGCAATAAAATTCGCTATATCCAATACAGCGTGAAGTTATTTGTCGCGTTATACACCCAACACGTGACAATATTATATTATTATATATGTCTGAGCATGATCATACTTACACGTAAGTCCCACTGAGTTAGCTCTCCATTCTCATGGCCTGTGATAATGGTCTTGTCCAATGTTCCCCATAACATTGAGGTTACTTTTGGCCCAGTGATGGGAATACGAAGAATTGGCTGTACCTTTTCTGAATCAGATATTAAATCATGTTAGTTAACATTCTAGGACAGTGGTTCTCAACACATGCTGTGGCACACTAGTGCACCACAAGCATCATAATGCTTCAAAGAGAAAAATGGTTATATAAAATATGTATTTGCATAAATTTCTTAAATTGATATTTGTAACAAATGTTCATCTTTTTCTAATTTTATGAAAATTTTATATTTTTATACAATGACAATGTTTGACATATAAGAGTAGTTTTATTATAAATATTTGCTCATTATCATAATAAACATCAAGATTTAGATATTTGATCTGTTCCTCTATAACACAGGTTGATGCTTCCAGTGTAATTTCAAGTGTCCACTGGATCTTTTCCCTCCATGTGCATAGTCCACTGTTTCAAAACGAATATAATTAAGCCTGTTATTTTAAATCCTATTATTTAAATTTAGCCTATTTAGGTTGCTTCTAACCACTGTCTCTAATTGATGCTTTATTGTGTACTGGACAATCTATCATTATTTTTGTTTTATTTTATTGCTGCTGTGGGACTTGTATGAAAGAGACAGTCAATGACTGATAGGGTATGGTGGTGTACAGTAGTTGAAAGTAGCCGCTGTATAGAGAATGGGATTAGAGTTGGTGATAGGTGGACTGTAGCTGAAATAAAACGCTGAGAGAGAATTAGGAGACAGTCGGGGTTAGCGAGTGGGTACAATCGGCAAGCTGGGAGCGAATTGGTGTGGCCAGGGCCAAAAAGTTAAGAGAGATGGAGAGGCTAGCTACAAGGTGTTCTGGAGACCCTGTGATTCATTAACTCCAAAGAGTGTTCCACTCCCATATCCGAAGCACCCGTATCACTGAGACAAAGAACCAAGCTCGAGCGACAGTCGTGGCAACTGTACGTCAGCAAGCAGCTACAGTGGTCAAATTCACCCAGCATTCAGGAAATGTTTCTTATGGTAACTGACTAGTACTTGCCATCTTGAAAACTATGAAAGGAACAAAGGTACAATAATATTCAGTAATTAGCAGGAAGCAGAATCACTGTCAAAATGTTTTTACTTAAAGGTACTGAGGAGTTTCAACCCAAGAAGGATAAATTCTAGCACTGTCTTCCCCTCTTCTGTTGAACAGTATGGGACATATGAATATAGGAAATCCACACAACAGGATGCCAGATCAGATACTATCTAGCAATTATCACAGGAGACAAGCTTCTCAAATGCTATAAATATTAATCATTTCTGGCGATAACACTGTGTGGATACTACAGCAAAACAATGTACAATGAGCTTTTTAACTTTGTTGACCGGTTCACAGCTCTGCACTTCAGGCGACCGGTGTGCTGCTTGCTGCAAGGTGAATATAAATTTTGCTGATGAATCAGCATGCATGATGGCCAACAAAATTTGGAATAAAGGGAAGTAATTAACTTGTGGACCGCTTGATAGTATTACGTTTCACAATGAGTATGAACAGTTACGTTAAAATTGAGTACAAACTTCAGAACGTTTTCATTTACATTATCTAATTTAAGTGATAACTTCTCACTATTTGCTAATTAAACTGCATTAAGAAAAAAACATTTCCTACATAAAAAATAATTTCCCAGTATTAGTGAGGACAAAACTACATGCTAATACATGGCTATTAGAGCCTGATCAGTGTTACTACTGATTCTACATTGACGAAATAACTGAATGACTGTCAGTGTGGGACACTCTCCATTGGAGTTGCCAAGAAAGCGATCAGGGACTGAACAGATAGAAATCACAAAAAACACTGGGAATCCACAACTGGACTCAAACAGGCAAAGTGATTTATATCCGGACCCTCTGCCAGAAGAACAAAGGATCTGTTGAAAGTAAACAGATGAATTCATATGGCTGGAAGGATTACTTACTGGACACTGCCACATAAAAGGACACCTTTTCAAACTGGGATCGACAGATGACAAAACCTGTGAATGGTGCCTACAAGAAGATGAATCAGCGACACATATCCTATGTGACTGTAAGGCCATAGCTTATTTAAGATTTTGTGACTTGGGCCAGTTCTTTATGGAACCAAGTGACTTTTATGATGCCCACATAAATAAAGTCCTACACTTCATTCGAAATGTAGGTTTAATAAGGGTTAATCCAAAGGGGAAGCACAATAGATCACTGAAGAGTTGAAGGGCCAGATTTTATGGCCCACCCCTTACACATACTACTTCTAGTGTGGGAGACACTGTTAGGATATTTTGAGGCAAAAATAATGAAACACTACTACACTTTATAATGTACAATACCAACTTCCTACATTGAAATATTACACAACATAAAACTGATAAAGGAACACTTCATTATTACTAAGAGTTATGAAAAAATTACCTATAGAATCATCTGCATTCCTCACATCAATGATCAAAATCTCACAATGTTTACCCAAATGTGTGTCTGTCGAATATGCAGCCATGTTAGCACTATAGCTGAAGTTACATGATCGAACAGACGAACTGTTCTCAATCTTCCCAATCTGAAATCCTACAAACAACAAAAGCATGCCAACATTATTAGCACTTCAAGTCAAAACTTACTATACATCCCTGTTTACAACACATGATAAACAGAGTAACAATTCTCAAGTTAAAATTTAAATGAAACCTGATTTACAGTCAGTCTCCTAACTCAATGAACTAATCAACTATCCTAAACAAGTTAACAATAAAATACATTCAGACATTTATCACTTCTCTGTACACATAGAGAACAGAAAATTAAACCCAACTGGGACAGGACAATAAGTATAATGAACTTTCTGACTAAGTCAAACACTTCTCCATTTTATTTAATATTAATTAACAGTTTATTTGAGCTTTAGGTGAAGCTGGAATATTATAAGCTCCTAAGAGAAATCATCTGATTGTTCTTCTCAGTAAAGGTAAAAGATAAATTCACCTTTGAATTTCATTAGTTAAAAACCATTCCATGAAAGGAGACATAGTTCCACCTTTCTTCCTCTTGGCAACAGATTGAAGAGAATGTTCAGTTTATAGCCCAGCTGCTTCAGCCTTGGAGAATGAGCTCCAGTATCCATTAGATAAGAGACTGGGTGGGCCCCAGAGCCTGTCTGGATGTTGTGGAGTAGAGAAAAATCTCTTGCCCATGCTGGGAATCGAACCCCTGCTGTCCAGCTCACAGCTTGCTGCTACAGTAACTAAGCTATCCTGACTTTGCTCTTCTAGGTGCTGAGTCGAACTTGTTAAACCTTCATTAATCAATAATTTATGACTATGCAAACATTCATTTGTTGTCGCTTTTCAACCACTGTCAAAGACAGCCCTCTTTGGCTGAACACTAGTGGTTAATTAGAACATGAGTCTAGAAACAGCCCATAAGAAGAATACTTCAGCTATAAATGAATAACAAATAACTTAGAGCAGTATTGTTACACAAAATTTCTGCTAGTGTGGATTTCTGATATCCCAAAATTAAATAAAATCTTAAAGTGTTAGGAGTTGGGTTTGATGAATCTTTTCATAACATATGGCCAATAATTGGCAAGTACTTTTGTTTCTGTACTGTACACCACCACTGATGATCAATGCAATCAAAACATACTGTGGTCCTAGAATAAACAACTACTGATATTTCAATCAATAAACTGTTGTGCAGAAGGTTATTAAAACAACTTTACTACCATACAACAGCATGCAAAAACAAAAGTTAAAATCACAGCCTTGCTACTTTACCACATTTGTAACTTCCAACTCCCAGACATAAAAAAGGGAAGAATTTCGTACAATATTTGTCGGTATAATTTGGCTCCATATCAAACAGGACATGAACAGCTACAATGTTACAATTACTGATGTAACACAGAAATGTAAATATAGCTGTGTGATTGTTACACTGTTGTTTTACATTCTACAAGGATGTGACATTAATGGAAGTGTGCAGCTTTGAAAAAAATGTATCACATATAATTTCAAGACTCTAGGCTAAACTACAGCATCATTACCAACTCAGAAACTGGAGGCAGACATTATTGATGGCAGGAAAGCAAAAACTGTTAACTACAATATGGGGATGGACATGGCAGAAAGGGGTGGCCAAACAACTGTATGCAATAATATTTTAGAAGATAACAAGTGTGGAAAGTGTAATTAAGTAGTGCAAAATGGCATACTATGCGATAATTGTGATAAACGGTACAATTTTAATAAGCACAGCAATGTAAATGAAGATAAAATACCTGATAATCAATGGCTTTGTGTTTCATGCTCACTACAAAATCCTCCAGAAAATGAGATTATGACTATGCAGTATGCTGACTGCGAAGTTGTCTGTAAGTTCTTAGAGGAAATATCGTCATTGCTAGAAATGATACCTATCTTACAGAGTGAAAGAGCGCAAAAAGTATGTCTTCTGGTACATTATGAAAACGAAAATGGTTGGAGCCGGGCAGCTAAAGGTAAATCAAGAAGAAAACACATGACTCCACAGTTTTCAGTTTCAATAAGTAACAGATTCTGCCCCTTAAACGATGCTGCTGATGAGACTGTGCAGAAGAAAATAATTAGTTGTCAAAAAAAAAAAAAAAGTGAAAAAGAAGAATAAATTGATGTTTTATAGTGATAGCTATGGTCGTGACATACCTACATCACAGAACAAATCTAATGATGATGTTTCAGTGTTTGATGAGGTTAGGCCAGGTGCTAAGGTAAAGGATGTTTTGAAAAACTGTGTAAGAGATTGTGCAGTACTTGGCCCACAGGACCCTGTAATAATTATGGGCGGTGCCAATAATACTGCTAGAAACAAAAGACTTGTATCAATGTTGTAAAAAGAACACTTTCCACACTGACTTGTACAAGTGTTGTTGTTCTCAATATACCGATTAGGCATGATTTAATAAAAGAATCAATAGTAAATAAGGAAATAAGGAAGCAAATACGGACATAAACTAGGTGTGTAAAAGATTCAGAAACGTTAAAGTATTAAATATAAGTAATATAAGCAGAAACTATCACACAGGGCACGGGAAGCACCTAAACAGACTAGGTAAAAAATTTATTACTCAAGAAATAAGTAAAATAATAGGAAATAATAAAAAGAACCAACTTAATGTAATAGTTCTAGGTGATCTAGATCAGGGAAACTAACAACGAAGACTGGATCCCTTGGGTTCCAGTCATTCCCAATTGGGGAAGTCAAGCCAATGCATAATTTGAAAATAATTCATCAAAATGCTCAATATCTTAGTAATAAAACTGAACTATTTACTGAATTTGGTACAATAGGCCAGAAGTGGCTGCAGTACAAGGGACTTAGTCCCACCCCACTAGCAATAAAAAAAATACTGAATTTCTCCAAAGTACTACCCCTGATATATTAGCTATTTCTGAACATGGTCTCAAAGAGGATGAATCCCTCAATGTATGTTAGAAGGTTATACTCTAGTAGTTTCATATTTTTGTAAGTAAAAATACAAAGGTGGAGGGATAGCTATTTACAGTACCAGCAACATTGTGCAAAGTAAACCCTTGAGTTGGGTACCAGGAAGAAGTACAGAAAAAACTCTCGAGGTTACTGGTATAGAAATAACATGCGACAAGATAAGACTTATAATTATTGCATCATATAGATCACCAAGTGGTGGAATGTATGAATTCTTTAACCTACTAATAGATATATTGGAGCAGCTTGTTCAGACAGATCAATATATCATTCTTGTTAGAGACTTAAATACAAATACCCAGGAACATGGATGTAGTCATAAGCAATTATTAGATATCATCAATGCTTATAACATGACTATGACAATAAATATTCCGACTCGAGTAACTGAGAGTACAGCAACGATTATAGATCAAATCATTACTAATATACCTGCTAATTGCTATTATACTAATGTTATAAATAGCCTACTTTCAGATCATTAGGCACAAAGTAAACTATTAATATGACAGCAGGACCACAAATAAGTTGTTATAAAGAGGTTAGGGATTTGTCGGATGACAATATAACCTGCTTTTGTTCTTTTATACAAACTGAAACTTGGACTGAGGTGTTTAGTGAAAGTGATATAGAGAACAAATGGAGCACCTTCTATAGCATTTTTAACTACTATTTTAATATAGACAGCCCAAAGGTAAGACAAAATATTGCATGGGTAAATAAGTCTACTTGGATAAATAAGGATGTTGTCATAGCCACATCAAAATTAAGAAATCTGTATGATCTTTATATACAATGCAAACCTCAGGAATATAAAAACATTTATAAAGCATGTAAAAAAGAATATAATACAATCACAAAAACTGCAAAAGCAAATTATATTCATAATATTATAAATAGATCAATAAACATTCCAAAAGCATTGTGGAAATTTGTAAATCGTGAATGAGATTCACTAAATAATACACCGACTAGAAATATATACTTATTAGATAGAAAACAAATAGTTTCAAGCCCAAGTAGAACTTGTAATATATTTAATAAAACCTTTGTAGAAACTGTTAATAATCTTATACTTGATAAAAATTTAATCCATCCACAAACTAGTAATAACATAGTTAGCTTAAGAGACTCATTTCTTTTGCTAGAAATAACAGAGGCCGATTTGATTAAAATAATCCACAGTATGGCGAATAAAAGGTTGGCAGGACTTGATGATATCTCACCTGACTTGCTAAAAAAAAATGTACACCTTATATTTCCAAACCGCTTTTAGAATTGGTTAATGCATCAATTAGGGATGACATTTTTCCATCTATATTAAAAGATTCAGTCGTTTCCCCTATCTATAAGGGGGGACTAAGGAAGATGCAAGTAATTATCGCCCAATCACACTTGTTCCTGCTTTCTCCAAGGTTTTGGAAAATGTAACAGTTAATCAATTAACAGCCTTCCTAGATAAACATAATATATTAAATAAATTTCAGTTTGGTTTTAGAAAAAAACATTCTACTGATGACGCTATTGCTACAGTCATTGAAAATAAAATAGATAACTTGAACGATAAAACAAAATGTAACTGCGTATCACCAGACTTATTAAAAGCATTTGATTGTATTAAACATAACATTCTTATGGATAAATTATATAAATATGGTGTTCGTGGTACTTCACATATGTTAATTAAATCCTATCTAGCAAATAGAACACAACAGGTGAAAGTAGCACATATGGAAATCAAGGAAATGAAGGAATATTTATTTAGTAGCCTTCCAATTAAATGTGGAGTCCCTCAGGGATCAGTCCTTGGTCCATTACTTTTTATTTTATATATGAATGACTTTCCTCATCTAACACAAGGTAGATCTACAATGTATGCAGACGACACATCAATACTGAATATGGGACAAGATATAAATGAACTCCAATACATAACTTCAATTAATATTGGAGTTGTGGAGAAATAGTTTGAGATGCATTATTTATTCATAAACCCAACCAAAACGCACTGCATCTTTTTTTCAGACAAAGCAATGTAGGCAGGACCATAAATACAAAATTTTAATCAAGAATATGGAAATACAGAAGCTTAAAAGTATAAACTTTTTGGGGATAGTAACTGACAACACCTTGTGCTGGGATGTTTATATTGATAGAACCTGTAGTCAAATTAGCCACAACCTATTTATAATAAACAGACTTGCTAAAATACTCGACCTAAAGGGTAGAAGAATTGTATATTATGGTTTGATCTATCTCTTTCTAACATATGGAATTGCAGTATGGGGACACAGTGCTAAGGCACTTACTAAAAGAATTTTTATTCTTCAAAGAAGAGCAGTAAGGTACACTGCAGGGCTAAAACCTTTGGAATCGTGCAGAGATAGTTTTAAACAACTTAAGATTTTAACAGTATATTCATTGTACATACAACAAACCATCTTATATGTAACTAATAAGTGTAACTGCACGGTAAATAAACAAGTATACACACACAATACAAGAAACAACAATGACTACCATAAATGGGTGCATAACTTAGAACTTTATAATAGTAAACCTTCAGTTGCTGGTTGTATCTTTTATAATAAACTACCTAATATAAAACAACTTGAGAATAAAAACCAGTTTATAGGGGAACTGAAGAATTTACTCATTACTGGGTGTTACTACTCAACTGAAGATTATAAGAATGATAAATTCTTAAATACTGGATAAAGATACATGCTAGATGTAAACAATCATTACATATTTTATTAGTTTATTGGTTAAGAATTTATTGTATTTTTGCTAATTTTATAATTTATATCATGTGACATGTCCTACATCAATGTAATCTGATCCATAGGTTGAATAAACATGAATGAAATGAATGAACAATATCTTTCTCTACTCTATTACTAGTTTCCCCATCATTCTTCAGTAATGTTTTACAGTCATGTGCCACTGCCCCCACTCCTGCCATATACAAACTCCATCAAAAAAGCATTCTCATTCCAATCCCACAATTTGATGAAACACAACCATGTTAGATTGCATGTGAACAATCACGGAAGACAACCTTGGACAATCCTCGAGTCTGTAGGCATGGTGAGGAACGCGCTACCAGCTGCATATTCTAAGCATTTACAATTTTTAATGTGGAGGGGCACACAAATTATATGATTCTCTACATAAATTGGTCAGCTGTTGTGTAGGCTGGAGGGTGGGGGGAGAGCAAGAAATGAAAGGACACGCTTTAATAAATATAGTATGAAACATAACCTAAAAAGTTTTACACTACAAGGGTTTTAACAGCGTATACATATGAGGTACCAGTTTAGATATATATTTTATATCATACCTGTTGCACAATCCCAGATACGCAAAGACTGATCAGCTGCTCCCGACATAAATCGAGTTGTATCCCAGTTGACATCAATGGCCCACACGGCACCCTGATGACCATCGAAGGTTCCAAGGCGTTCTCCATTTAATGAGTACCATACATTTGGATACTGATCCTTTGATGATGAAAACAAAAGATCTCCTTCTCTATTGTATTTTATCTGCGTAATAGAACGCTCATGTCCATGCAGTATAAGCGGCTTCTGTAAACATAATGTACTCTAATTACTTTAAAATTACTCATAAGAGTTAAAAAAAGATCTACTTTCCTTAGACATAAAGGGAAGATGTAGTCCAGTTTCTTGTATGCCATAAAGGGGTAACATGCTGTTCTTATAGTCAGTGCCTCTTGTTATAGTTTATTCAGCCTTTCTCTGGCCATCTTGAGAGGAAACACTTGGTAAAAATCACTGAGGAATCTCACCAGATGGAAAAATAAAAACACATTCTAACTGTTTCAAAAACGTTGTTTTTGCAAGAATCTTATTTTTGTTTTCAACAAGTACAAAATAAGAGATTTGTTTTTTCATGGGGGGGGGGGGGCATTCATTCCATAATCTAGACATCACGAATGCGTCCTTACCATAGAAAATATAAATCCATCTTTTATTTATTTATTTCGTCTCTATAGATCATTGTTACATGATATAGGACAAGTCAGTTACTGTACATTAGCTGATTACAATAAGAGAATAAAGTTACAATACTTAAAATTGTTTACAATAGATTACAATAGTTACGATTTCACATAGTGTGAGGTGGAATCCATATTAGGTCCCTTCAGCACGTTGGCTTCCAGCCGAGCGGATGTTACAAAGAACTTACGCACTTGAAACTAAAAATTACTATAAATACATATCAAATTTTATTCTTGCAGGTACAAGTAACATGCTGTAGATTATCTGTCTGTAATCTGGTATTTTAAACCTGTATCATAATACAAATCACTATATTACTAAATATATTTTCCCTCAAGAAAGCAAGTTTTAAAAGAACTTGCTAATGGCATGGGCCAGTGTACAATCTGGCAACAAATACAGCACGCTTTAAGCTTCAAAGCACATAAACCAACTCTGAAGACAATGCTACATAATGCAAAAGAAACAATTAACATTCCAGTCAGATAGAGGAATGCCCTATTACACCACCATCATTAAATACCACTTAAATGGCCATTGTTCTGCATACTTCAATAAATCCTAGATACTCCATACTACAAAGACCTTAAATGTGGCAAAGTGATGATGTAACAGGCCTTAAATGACAGGCCAGGAGGGAGACAAAGTCTCATTTGTGCAGGTGGCTGGATGGACTTTATCACGGGTATACAATTGAAACTACTTTTTAGGAAGATAATAACAAAATCGGAACTGAAAATAATATGAAACAATTCAATTCCGCTTACTATTCTATGAACACTTCCATGTCATTGTGAGCACAAACCCTTTGAACACACAGGAAGCATAATGAAGAGGGTTATACAGAGTAATATGGTCTGGCAACACAGCTTACTCTAGCAATGCTGTCATTTCTTTACTGAAGAAGAGTAAGGGAGATGTCCTAAAGTAAAAGAGGAAGTTTTGGGATGAACTAATCGCCAACTATCATTTGACCCCAGTGAAATCAACAATTCTTCATTGTTATGTGAAAGTGTTCAAGAAGATAGTGCCCAGCAACAACAGGGGTATACAAGGACAGACTCACAGACCCCCTTTGATATGATATGGACCACACAGAATGATGCAAATATAAATAAGCCACAGACTGATGGAGGAGATTTATTAAGCATTCTGCAGAGACCAGCTCAGATGCCACGATTCATTCATTCATTCATCAGTAATCTGTCAGACGACAGGTACACAGTCTCTTCCAAAACAGTTCCTCCACTTAATGCCATCTCAAGCTTTCTCCTTCAATGAAAATATCCTCTTATGTCCCCAAGGTCATCCAGCATCTTCTTATGTCTACTGGGCACTTATATCTGCCCCTCCAGTTTGTTTTGTCTCCAGAGGAAACATCTCGCATACATGGTATCTCTGTTTTTGGAAAGAGACTATCCAGGAAAAGTGATGTGGTAGTTTTTCCATTTGCTTTCCACATCGCAGTACAACAGCCGTTCAAACCACTCTGGTCACGCCTGTTGCTATACGAATTTGAACCATCTCGAGCATCATTTGCTCTGTGTTTCAAGTTACTGCTGATGACGCTGCTTCCGGCATCAGTTTTTGGTTTTTGGTGTCTTTCTTCGTCTGATGTCTACCCTTGACCTGTCCAGCATGGGAGGCCCTGCCAGTAGCTACGCTACCGCTGGTATAGCTCTCAGGGTCCTTGGCATACTCAAACCCCCTCGCAACGATAGGGTGGACACACCAACGCGGGGGGCCACGATATTCATACAAAATTTCATGAAGACTGGTTCAGACATTCGAAACTTGATAAGGGGAGACACACAAACCGAAAGGTGATATCATAAACCTACTTCCACTTTTTCAAAATAATAACGGGGTGGTGTAAAATAAGATTGCACATGGTTTCCTACGCGTACACACACAGAGCAATAACTTCATCGAATTAATAAGGGCCACAATTTGGGGATTATTCCTGAAATTTGACGAAAATCGAAACGGTTATAACCGTCAATGTACATTTCGAGACAGCACATACATAAAACCGATTTACCATACGGCAAATTACACCATATCATTTTCAATGTCATTGTTTTGGAATAATCGATTACACACGCAACATTATCTATAAACGACTCGTACAAAAACTATTCTAGTGAATCTAAGAAATACGTATCACACACCAATAATAGATTTAAGCCCTTTAAAGCAATTCCTTACCATCTTAAACGGGAATTCTCTTGCTTTCGTTTACTTGCACAAGCTACTACACCTAACACTCAAACCTCTTCCAACGTTAACACGGTTAACACCGTTAACACCACGTTCGTTAAGTTAATGCAATGCAAGAAGGCTGCTATGACGTCACGCGGCATTACTCCTGCCATCTCTACTCAGACCTACCCTAACTAAATGAGGAATGGCCACCAACACAGACAGCATGATCAATAAAATAAAATGCTACCATACCTTCCTATGCGTCCTCCCCTCCCCCTCAACTCCTCTTCACCCACCAACGAACAACCAGTTCACAGGAATAGGAATATATAATTTTGTAACCATCTCTCTTGTGCTGCAGAGATTCTCACTCCGTGGTTCTACTCTTGTTTTTCTGAATGGTCTTCAATATCACTTCACTCATATCCGTTCCAAAGGATGAGTGAAGTGATATTGTACGCTGTTCAAAAAAAGAAAACACACAAAAGGAGTAAGAACGCCTGCAGCACGAGGGTTCACGGTTGCAAAATCGGAAAGTTTCTCACCAGTGCCACATTTCATTTGTACGAATCCAACATCTCCTTACCCAAACGCATTGGACATTGTGAACTATAACATACATACTATACTTGTGTTTAGGAAAGCTGACGGTGAACTTGAAAGAAAATTCTGTTTCCATCAGACATACCTCTATTTAACCTCACACCTTTGGTAACAAGTTACACTTGAAAGCCACAAAAAACATACCTCTATTTAACCTCACACCTTTGGTAACAAGTTACACTTGAAAGCCACAGAAAACATAGTTTTTTGGTTATATTAAAGCATTATAAATCATATATAGCAAGCAGTAATACAGACGTTTTCATTTATTATTAATTTCGTTACAATGACGTTCTGTACTGGGCAGGATTCAGTAAACCCCAGGGCCTAGTGTGACTGGAAAGTTGAGGTAAACTGAAAAAATCCAATGACCTCATCGGGACTTGAACCCGCGACCTTCCAGCTTGTAGCATAACCCCTCAACCACTACGCTACCCCATGCCCACATAAAGTAAGCTTAAGTAGACTTAATATTGTCTCCACAACTGATGGGAATGTGGTGACGGACTGCAAACGGCTGAACAGTGCTTCTGGGATTGTGTAAACTCACCAAGACTGAAGGGTAACAATGATAGACATTGTCTAAGAACAGCAAGAAATAGTATCCAAAGTCGGTTACAGAGCTCCTAAGGCTATAGGAAAGGTTTGTGAAGGCGTATGTTGCATCATAAACAAAAGTTTCAAATTTATTTAAAAAAAAAATGTACAAAATATTATGCTTATAAGTAAGTCAAAATGGTCACCATACTCGAGTATCATAGCGAAGAGCAGTGTTCTGTTGTGGGCAGGACTATACAAAGCATATTCTTAACAAAATGTTTCCTGTTTATGGTGGGGTTTGTCAAGTAATGCGGTTCACAACTGGGTCGAGAAACATGTCAAACGCTTCACTGATGGCAAGGAGGTTGAAATGAATGTGTGGAAGTGGCTGAGACAACAGCCAAAAAAAACTTCTGTGCTGCAGGTTTCTAATATCTCATGTTTTAGGTTTCATATGCACTTGTGACCTATTTACTGACTCATTAATATGAGGGCAAGTGAATGAAATACAACTATGAGGCAATAACCACAAAGGAATTTACGAAAGAGGATTGAAAATCAGTGACTAAGTAATTACTCAGTGCAACAGGGCATTCGATTATAACATTAACAACTTTCCAAACCTGATCCCTTGTACTGTGTTATGACTTACTCCAATACAATGAGGCATTTATGAAAGATATACTAAGAAGATTGAAAATCAGTGGCTAAGTACTTATTCAATGCAATAGGACATTCAAACCTTCTAAACCTGGTCCCTTGTACCGTAGAGGAACCTGTATGTATGTGAGGTGTGGGCCACGACCTTCAATGATCTATTGTGCTTGTAGAAAAACTTACTCCATTTATAAAAATGAGTCATATTAACTGATTTAACCATATTTCTTCGGTCATATCAGGAGAAAGTTTCTCAGCAGTTCCTGTAACGAAGTACAAACATTAGTGTCATATGTTAGTGAATAGCCACTGGTTTGAATGGGTAATTGGATTTATTAAACTGTTATTAACTACAAGTAATTATAATGCTATCACTAACCTACATGCTTAAAAAATTGTTGTAGTACACGCTAAGTATGTCTGTTATAGTTTCCACTGGCCCTTCCTTGGTAATGGCTCCTATCAATGGAGATTCTTCTGCTTCTGTAGTCATGTCCTTACTGGATGGTGATTGGCTCACAACTCACCCATGACAGCAGCCAAGTTCAAGTCAAAGTTATGTTACAACTGATGGCTAGTCAAGCGCCATCTGGGACCCCAAGACCAGCGTTTTGTTACTATAAGACAGTTGCTGGTTTGTTGATATGAGGCGCCCTCATGACCACCCCCATTGGTCCTCATTATATAGCCTCAGCTTAGACCATATAGACAACACCACCTCCAGTAGTTCTTCTGTTGTCCGTGTTAAGAGGGGCTGTCGCCTAGTGACGGCTCACTTGCTCACTGAGCACAAGAACATACAAATCTGTTCCAATGATTCCACACACATCTTTTTCACAACATCTATTCCATAGTTCAATGGGGATGAAATGATAATTACATGGTAGTACACATAAATCCTTGTGCTCATGCTCTTCAATCAATTCATCAATTTTTAACCTAAGAAAGAATACCATTAAACACATGTTCAGGATTACTTACGTTAGAAAAAAACCTGGAAAAAAAATTACACACTTCAGACTTGTATTTACATATCCATGTATATGTAGAGAAAATTCATCCATTTTCACTCCAACTGTATATTCACCAATTTCTTCCAGTATTGCTCTGTGTGGTAAAACCATCAGATTGTTTTTTCTTTTATTTCAATACTGTTCTTCTTGCATAAAGAAAGAACATGTTGGATCTCGTTAATAAACCCACAATTTCTTACAGAATGTCTCTTAGACATCACCAGTTTCTCGATCTATCTCCACACGCCGCAAAGTAAAGCAAACCAACATGGTCACCTAGAATTGCAAATTTCTTTTATAAGACTTTTGCATGGTGGCCTATACAAGGTGTGATATATCCTAGTTCCGGCACTGGCAAAACCATACTTCACACAATCAATACCAACCCATCCTATCTAAGATCCATTTTACTACTATCCACCCCCCCTATGCCTTGGTCTTCCCAGTGGTCTCTTTCCTTCTGGCTTTCCCACCAATACTTCCTCAGTGTAGCTGGAATTAAATGTTTAACCACAAAACTTTACTTTCTAAGATGATAAGTATTTTTCTGATATTTTACTGTAACCATGTCTGTTGAAGAAACAGTCTTTTACACATACAACTGCATGTCCAAAATTCTGCCAGTAGAGTCATAACTGATTACAGGTTGCCTTTTGGACATGACTGTATTTCAATGTGAATTTCTTTTTCCTCTCACTCCAATTTTGGAGCATAGGGCTGATGTCTCAGTTTCACTGATCATTTTTACAGACAGTAGGACACCTTGGATAGGTGATCAGCTTGTCACAAGGCCCCTACCTAAACACAGAACAACACAAACAGAGAATAAATGAATACACACATCCAATATCTATGTCTTGTGTGGGATTCGAACCCATGATACCAGCTTCTGAGTGAGTGAAGACAGCATTCCTTAGACAGCTTGGCTACCTTGACCAGCTTCAACGTGAGTAGTCCACACAAAATAACAGAAGTGGAAAGCAGCCAAGATAACTATAAATGTGAAATAAGAGTTCTTCTTTCCATGTTAACTTCCTCCAGAGCCAATTTTAGGAATTTTAAGATATGTGGAGCTAGTTCAATAGAAGAAATTCAAAACCAAGAGCCAACAAATTGTAACAATATTTATTTCACTTAGGACCTATAAAGTTTGAAGCTTGGTCATTATGTAGTTCTTGTAGTAGGTTTATTTACAAAGTTTTGTAGGATACTGCAAACATTTGTAATCAACTGTTTGACTACTAAATGATTCAACTACATTTGTACTAACTATTTAATGAAGTCCCCAGATTATTCAAAATATTTCAACACTTTTACACATGTGTATAGAAACTGGACTCAATTCAATGAATCACGTTTCTAAAAAATCTCTGTCACAAATTTGTTTACAGTTAAGCATATTGGCCTCGTTCACTGTCTTAGTGATCCAATCTGAAGTAAAAACGTAAGAATGGCTGAAACTGTTAAAAAACCGCTGTGAATATGCAAAACATGTTAACACTACAATGTGTTCATATTCTGTAACATTAAGGCTGCAGACTACACAAGATACAAATACTGTTACAGTTTGACATATTTACACATCCATATGGGAAAATATTCACAAAAAAATCCTCATTTTATGGAAGCATAAAATGTAGATAATCAACAATGCTAATAATTATATTGCTTCTGTTGCAACAATTAATACATTATAAGAACTATGCACTTAATCACAAAACATAATTACTATTTTATATATATATATTATATGTTCATATACATATCTTTGAATTTAGTATCCTGCAAGGTTATGCCAAAATATAGAAGCATCCTTCCACTCTCATGAATTTTCACCAGAATTTTCTACCCTTGGATTGGGAACACTTAAGTAAATTCTCTGTTGGTGCATTTACATTGCAAACTTAATATATTGAACCAAGTTATGGATGAGGCATAGTATTAAAAGATATAAATATTAGCATTATACACTGCCTACAAAACAGAACTTTTGTGTCTGTACAATGATCTAAGGTAATATACTTACGCCTTTAACAAATGATGGTGGTGTACTTTTTGACATTTTAAAATTTTATATGCACAAAAATAATTTTCATCTCCCTTTAAAATAATTTCATACAGCTGACTTAAAATAGCTTTAGCCTTAAATTTAGGACATGTAACTAATTCAAAGGCCAAGAATATTTTATCTGAACAAACAACAGAAGGTTGAAGTTGTTTTGTTGCAAGAATAATGAACCAAGCCTAGACTTCTAACTCCATCTGGATATTTGGATACTACATAATTAAAAGTGCTTCTCAGCACAAAGTAAGCCACTAAACTGTGGCTCTCCTAAGTTTTCATAAAACCTAATGAACTTCAATAAACATTATCTAACAATATATCTTTTAATAGTATAAAGTACAGTGACTGTTCCAAACATCATATACACAAACAGCATTTATCTGTGCAGAACTAATTCAATGTGATTAAACTGGAAGCCACATCACAGACCAGGAGCTGATTCAGACATAGAAAGTCAGGATGTATTTATAAACAGTGCCATCCACAATCAGCCAAACACTAAGGTCATTTCCATTCTCAATTTCAAACTTCTAACAGAAAACAATAACCCTTCAGATAAAACTGCATGGAGTTCCTTAAAATGACAAATATTATAAGGGACAAAACCACTATATTCATCCTCAAAATAAACAGGCAATTTAGGGACAAGGTCATGCCCAACACTATATATAAGAGATTTACCAATATCTTAAAACTTTTTTTTTTGAGACGGCAGGTGATCTGAATATGACAATTATATAAATACATTGACAGTTTAGGTAACCTAAAATTGTTATAAATAAGATACTGGATAAACGATGTTATAATCATGCATTCTTTATAAAAGAAACTATGCATAAAATAATTCACATTAAAAGAGGTGTCATGTAATCAGCTATCACATTCTTCTGAACTCAAGAACTGGCCACTACACAGTTTCATCATGCGATTACCAATGTATTTAATTGTCCTACTTACCTGATCAATACCAAAAATCCTGTGATATTTTCAATTAAATATGTTTTTAGACCATATGTTTCTATAATAAATTTACAACATTAATGCACCACCATACTAGTCCCATTAGTCAAATTTACCCACACACAATACTACTGATCGCACTGAGCACCTCAAAGGAACACTGGGAGTACTTAAGAGGCACTCTTGTACTCTTCGAGCACTAAAATACTTGTAATGGAGTACAGCCCTCGTATTCTATACACAAATCACAATAGTTGCACCTATCAATAAATGTCTGCAATTCTTTTATATATGATATGATTCAAAACATGATAATGTTGCAATGATCCAATGCCATCACTTTGCTGTATAGGCCCTTCGATGTCCTGTCAGAGCCAAGGCTTACCTGAACACAGATATAAATGTCAATAGTGACACAAGAGTTCAAACAGGGCCATTTGGAGTTGCACCTAGACTTGTCTTACTTGAACAAGCCTCATTATGTTTGGCTCTGAAATGACAGAAGATCACCCTCAGTACTGCCATCCCAAAATGTAGGATGCGTGAACAGTTCAAATTTCAAACTATTTACCAGTGTTATGTTCAATTCATGCATGTGGGATGAGAAATCCATATAGAATATTGGTGGAAAAGGTATGTATAAAACTGCCATCAAGTGTATCATATTCTTTTTGTTGCTTAAATTACTGTACAGTCCAACATGTTTTGGCCATAACTGACCATCTTCAGGGAAAACGAATACCAAAGGAAACTTCACCTGATGACTTCACCATATTACGATTATCAAATGTTTTATAAGGATTTACAACTAGATTTAATTAAACGAGTAAAATATTTTACCACATTTTAAGTAAATTATGTGAAGTTTCCTTTAGTACTGACAGCCCTTAAAGATGGCCAGTTAACCCCACTACATGATGGGGCTGTAAAATTATTCAAACATCACAAAATTAAGACACACCTAATCACAATTTTATATCAAGCTTAATGTAAACAGCACACCAGAAATAATGACATCTACCAAATCAGCTGGAAATCCTAAACCAATTGGAGGACTGATGTATAGAGATGACAATAATATTAAGACTGACCTTAAGGTAATAGGGCTTGAGACTGTGGCTTACAACAGGGGCCAGTGACAGCCTTTTGTGAACACAGAAATTAATCTTCAGGTTCCAGAGAAGGTGGAGAATTTCTTGACTAGACTATTAGCTTCAATGTACTCTGTTTCGTTGAGTTAGTGCAATAATATTAATTCCAAACGACTTGTAAGATTTGAGGCTTTCACGGCGGTGACTATGAAGAAAGCAGTCTTCTGGGATTTGGCACCGTGTATATGTGGTGTTAACCGACGTTTCGGAGGAACGTATCGCCTCCATCTTCAGGGTAGAAAAATACACAGCTATGTGTACACATAGCTGTGTATTTTTCCACAGTCTGCTTTTACCGGTTCTCACGGTCTCTTTGCTTGCAGATTCTTATATATATATTTTTTTTCTTCTACCCTGAAGATGGAGGCGATACGTTCCTCCGAAACGTCGGTTAACACCACATATACACGGTGCCAAATCCCAGAAGACTGCTTTCTCCAAACGACTTCATCGCATATTAAATTATCACATGTAGCCCGCTTCAATACTTCAGTATGACTAAAAAGTCAAGATGGGATCTATAAGGAATGGCTTACATTGATGCTGGTTGACTGTTGTCTACTAATTCAGCTGTGCTCTGTGACTCCTCTGGTACTGGACCATTCTCTTTTGGAACAGAATCAGTCTCAAGTTGCTCTGTAGGTAATGATTGTACTTCTCGACCACTAGACACCAGACCTTGTGTTGATAGGAACCTGACAGAACATGAAAGATCTTATGGTTTATAGAAACTGCCAAAATCAGTAGCATGATTTTAAAAAGAGATTCCTCAACTTTTTGCAAGTTCATATACCATTTGAACCTCACACGTTATACCTTATGTAGGTAACGTTACAGAAGAATAGTGCTGTGTAGGTATGTTTGAAAATTCCACCAACATATGAATAAATGAATCATGTGGAAAACACTATACTATCTAACGGTGATGTAACTGTTTACTTCACCAACTGACAATGGCAAACACTTGTTCCCATAGTAGACAGAGTATACATAACTTTACACCTTAATACCGATTACAGTGCATATATATATATATATATATATGTTAACACACAAAATTATAATATGAGAACTATGAGTGACCAGAAAACCAACATTTAAAAACTAAAAGAGAAACTTTAATTACTTAATTAATAGCAACAAATCTTAATTTTATTTTAACTTAATCTAAAAATTAAAATAAAGTTTAACATAATATATTTGAGTTTGCATATGAACTATAGCTGGCATGGATACTGTAAATAATGTGTATGACCTTCGCCATAAAATGTAAACACTGTACCCAATGCAGGGGGAAAACAGCACAAAAATTAGTGTGAATGTAAAATGATTTACCTGATGATAGCCATAAATGGCTCAAACACTGCAAAGTAAAAAACAGTATAAATTTATTTCAATTTATACAGGAATTTTGTTGATGGAACATATGACAAATATTTACCTATAATTATCTATAAGGTGCTGATGGTGTTTCTCTCCTAAAGAAGCACTAGGGTTTGCATTGTCATCGGCCCCGGAATCTGGGCTGTAAGAAAGAAACATGATACTATCATCAGATATTAACAAAGTACACAGAAAGTAAAATGTAAAGCACTTCAGAAGAAACTAACCCCTTTTCTGGTATACTTTCTTCTTGAGTTTTAAGTTCTGAGGTAAGCTTAGAGTCCACATCAAGGGGCCTGCCAGCAGGCCTCTTTTCAGCCCTGCTTCCTGAATCAAGAACAGCTATCGTGCTAGAACCTGAAACAGAATAACACAAAAATGTGAATATATCTGACTTATGGAATAAATATAAAATTCAACACATTAGGATTATGAGGTCTTCACAGAGGTGACTATAACGAGTACTGTTTTAGGATGTAACGCATCTAATGTGATAGAAGTTTACACAACATTCCTCCAAAACATCAGTAAACTTCTGCCAGGTAATGGACAAACATATTTGGCTGAAACCAATGTCAGTGGGAAATTCTTAATGGAATAAAGTTCCCTGTAAGATCATTACATTTTCTGTATCATATGAATCAAAGTGCATTCAGCTGTGCAACAGATAACTCACTACATAATGCTACCTCATTCAGAAAAAAAAAGCAATTAGCCATTAGGATTACTCATGCTGCAGTACATCTGAAGTGAATAAGGTAATTAAATTTTAATATCATGGTGTGTTAACTTACAATCAACCAGTACTGTAGAATTTGTGATTTCACTGTCTGTTTTTGCCATTTCTTGGTGACCGTTTTTACAGTCACTTGTACTTTTGCTGCAAGTTATGTCTGTAACACCTGCAGCTCCAAAGTTTGCTTCAAAATCAGCAAACCCTGCTGAATCAAAGTCTGCCCAACCTCCTTCATTAGGAGCTGTGGGTCCAAGAGCTGGAGTGGGCTCACTGTTGTTACCCCATGGGTTACTTGAATCAATTGCTATTGGTGCAACTGCACCTTCACTTGAAATATCAGCTGCTGCCCAAGCTGTGTATATAAACAAGAAATTAATTACAATTTCAATCATTATATTTTCTCGGTTCATATCACGTGCTGTACTGATCTGATTACTTTAAATATTAAACCAAACAAATCCGCTAGATCACAGACCCAGAACACAGAAAATATGCGCTTACTCACTTCCACAGTGGTGGATATGAAGTAAATATTATTGTGACATGACAGCAGAAAACCAGAACAGTTCACCATTAGTCAACGTCTCGCCACAAAATTAACATACGTTCCTGCAGCAACGAACACACAAGTCCATTGCTAGACAACAGTTCAGTAAGCACATTCCTGTGGCAATGAATAGACGCAGTAACAGACAAACTGTTCAAGATGGGGGTCTATATTAGGCTCACCTCGAAGTTACAAAAGGAAAGTTCAGTTCACTCGCAAGCAATTCTTCATCTGTCACTCATCCTTAGTGATTCGTAAATCAGAACCAAGTCAGTCACAGAAGAACATAAGACATCTGTAGTCCAGTAAGGAATGGAGCAAGTCTGAAGCAGTCTTTGATTGCAACTATAATATAAGTGCCACAGAACCCCGGACAGGTGACAATATTTAACAAGTATCACAGAGATAATCTCCTCTCCACTGCCGTAATTATCATCTCCATAATGCACAGTATTATTATCAATATATTTTTAATGAAACAGGACAGGAGCATAACGACAGCGTAGCAACTGCACTAGGGAGTTCCCATGGTTTAGCATGCAGCACATTACATGATCGTTCGAAGTTTCAGAAAGTGTGCGCATGGTTGATGCCCAGGGAACTGAAGAGTAAAGAGAAAATAAAATGAATGGGTCTGTCCTTGCAATATCGCTTACAGTCTGTAGAGGAAAGAGAAGATATGCTTAACACGATTATTACTGGGGACGAATCATTGGGGCAACACCACCAATTGGAATCAAAGTGTGTTTCAATGCAATGGAACATCCCAGTTCACCTTTCACCAAAAAAGTTTAAGGTTATGCCATCAGCTGGGAACGTTAGGCTTACCATGTTTTGGGACTCTTAAGGAGTACTGTTAGCTCATTTTCAGAAGCATGGTGAAAATGTGAATTCTGCCTTGAACTACGAAGTTCTGTTGAAGCTTCAGGATACAATTTGCAGAAAACCTCCAGGCCAACTGGCAAGAGGGGTACAGTTTAATCATGACAATGCCAGGCCCCATACAGCCCAAGCAACCCAGGATAGAATTCAAGAATTACAGTGAAAACTTCTTGAACATCCTCCTTATGGACCAGACTGTCATCTGTTTGGTCCGCTAAAAACCACCTTGGTGGCAAAGATTTTGCTGATGCAGAAGAGGTTCAAATTGTATGGATGTGGCTGAGACAACGGTCAAATGACTCCTATGCTGCAGGTTTCAATGAACTGGTAAAGCAATAGGACAAGAGTATCAATGTTGGTGGAGGATATGTTGAGAAATAAATGTTTTTTCCAAGTTTGAATATTACATGTTTTACAATACATATCAATTTGTGGCCTATTTAGAGACTCTCCTTTGTACACTATATTTTGCCTGAACTCAGTTACTCACGATCTGTGCAATCCACTTCCATGTGAACTTCTTCCCTTCCCTCTGGACCTGCTCTTTCCTCCTCATCCGAACTACTATTCTCTGCAGCATCCTCTCCTTGCCAGTCCCTTAAAAAGGAGAACACATTAATATTACATCTAGTCTTCCATTAATCTGCTCATAACAGAGAAGAAAACTTTATTTCAGGCGTGACAGAAGCTTAAACAAATGAACCATGTAAAATTTAGAGAAAATGGAAATCTACTGCAAGACTTCACTATCCTCTGAGCAACATACAGAGTGTTTCACGACTTTATNTGGTGCTTAAAGCTGATTTTTGAAAATGCCACTGTCAGCCACAACACAGGCTGCCGCTCGGTTGTGAACCGCGCGGGTAGCACGTAGCAGCTTCAGCTGGCTGTTTCTTATGTGGTCAGCGGCGTCCAGAATGCAACTGAGCAAAGCATCTCGTGTTACCACCTTCACATTGTAAACCAGTTCTTTCATCTATTCCCACACAATAATCCAGTGGGTTTAAGCCTGGAGACCTGGCTGGCAATTCTTCGCGTACTCATATGTGGACTGTGGTGTACCATACAAACAATACCTTCTTCACTGACGCCTTCATTAACACCATGCTCGGCTGCAATATGAACGCCGGGAAGTCTACCGGTATCTCGCAATGCCTGGTAAACTCCAGTAAACACTCTCCAGTTCAGTATTCTACAATTCGGAAACTGTTGCTGATATTCAGCTATGGCAAGAACTGAGTTACCATCACAAAACCCGTACACATAAAGCATATCTGCATTCTCCTCAAATGAAAATGTAAATGGCATCGTGAACGTAACAGACGCACCGAGATGAGAACTGTTCTGAACACCAGTAGCTGCCACACTAGGCATGGACGGATATAACAACCCACCATGCCTTAGGTACCTCTCAAGTGATGAGATAACGAGAACACTCTGTCTGTAGCTGGCTAAAAATAGCGACCCACCAGATGATAGACACAGTTCACGCGAGGGATTGTACGGGAATGAAAAAACGGTCATAACTCCATAACCGTCCAAAATTGGACACATGTTTATATAAACTTTTTTGATCACAAAGACCTAGGAAATCACCTCCTGCAGTTATGCCCTAAAGTCGTGAAACACTCTGTATATAGGGATTACCCATAATTAGAGGGGGCACGCAGTAGTGTAGTTGGTTCAGGCACTATGCTACAAGTTGGAAGGTTTTGCTCCCAATGAGGTCAGTGCATTTTTTTTTTTAATTTACCCAATCCTTCCAGCGGTACTATTGCCCTGGGTTGACACAACCTCTAACAGAAATGAGTACCAGGAAGCTTCCTGGGGGTAAAGGGTGGCCAGCATATAAGGTTGATGACCTCACAGCCATATGCGAGCCGAATGTCTAAAAAACATGGAGGCCTCGACATCTCACAACCCTGTGGGCCTCCATGGCCTGCTACAAGTATAACTTTACCTGCTATCTTTTTACCCATAATTAGAAAACAATGTTTAAAGAATCAATATAAATCTTATTACATTTTATACACATCAGTTTTAAAGCAGACCAAATACATCTTTGTTCCTTGAATTTTGCTACTTGGAAGCTGCAATGTAGGCATGGCAAACTCCCAAGCATCTTAAAGGATGTGTCATTGGAGTCCAAGTGCAATGCATTCAGGTGCTGTTACCACTACAGCATATGTAATTCTATACCACAAAATCTATTTGGATATGACTATTAATGAACTCCAAACTTCCTGAGAACCAGAAGAAAATTAGTTCATCAAAAAAATTACCCGGCCTCTATGAAACCAACAGGTTCACTAACATGCTTATAAGAAGCTATCAATAGACCTTATCCTAAGCCTATGAATCCAGCACATATCCTTACATCACATTTTTCCATGCTGAAAGGTGTGCCTATGTTGCTAATGAGAGGAAAATAAATACCCTGTCCTCGTGTCAATGACAGTCTGAAAGGTGAGTTCCTGCTCCCGATCATCCCAAATATCTTCTTCTCCATCATTCAATGTGTGTAATTTCTGGGAACATACTTGTTTGAACAGCTCGGCTTGCCTGTCAAGTTCCTCTTCACTGAGGCTAAAGGTCATGCTTGTAAGCCGGTCCACAGATGCACTGTAATAGATTTTCAGTTCTCAGGTAAAGAACAATTTGTTTACATTACAACACTTTATTAATCACAATCACAGAGAAATACTGATATAATGAATGTAGCTGCAAAACCCTTACAGGAAAAGGTTTTTATACTTATTAAGCAATGTTCAACATTAATGGAAGTGTAGGATTTGAGAGTCTCACAGTGGGGTTTATGAAGAGTTCTATCTCTTGGGATATTACACTGTGTAGTTTGTTGAAAGTCAACTAATGTTTTGGAGGAACATGTAGCCTCCATCTTCACGGTCTAAGAATAAGCCAAGCATGGAAACTGCTTGAAAGCAGGTGGCAAACAGAGCTCTGCTTGACTTTCAATGAACTACATAATATTGTNTCTACCCTGAAGATGGAGCGAATACGTTCCTCCGAAACGTCGGTTAACTCCACATATACACGGTGCCAAATCCCATAAGATGGCTTTCCTCGTAGTCACCGCCGTGAAAGCCTCAAATCTTACAACTACATAATATTATATCACAGAAGACAGAACTCTTCATTTATAAATGTGTTTATAATATTGGTAACATTAGACTAGTAGTCATAATTTATAGGGTGATAACATACAGCTGCTTACTTTGAAATGATGGTATCGCTGCAGTATGAAATACAATGCATTTTTAAAGCATCACATTTCGCCAAATAAATATTAAATTGTGGAACAAAAATTAAATTTTCTTATGAATATGCCATTTATCCCATAAGAACATTCAGCAGTTATATTTCTAAACAAATTCAAACCACATTACAAAAATTCACAACTACTTTAGAACCACTTCATAATGTAAGCGATGAAAGTTTTATTTGGGGTACCCTAATATACTTCAAACACTTTTAACCTGTAACTTCCTCAAAAAAAAAAAAAAAGCTTTGACTACAATAAATATTTCATTATAGTTTAAATACAGTGAGAAAAGGCAAAGAGAGTTCATAAAATAGCAAATTTCATAGCTGGTGGGATTATCAATCACAGGCCACATCATAACTCACTATGTAGAGACAAGAATACTACCTTGTATGTGCAAGCTCTACCTCACTTTTCTACAGCAGTTGCCTAAAATAAATGGAGGTTACTTTCTGAATAGTTCTCATATAACAAACAATGCCATACATGCATCCTGACTGAAACTAGCAGGATTTTCAAGATCCCACACATGCACACACACACAAAACATAACTATCTCAGACTTGGTCATCCAGTACCATTGGTATTACTAATGTACTAGGTGCAAAATCTGAGAATGATACAATTTAAGTTTCTTGTGCAAGATGAACTGCCTCTGGAGAGACAAACTGTGATAAGGTTTGCTGAAAGCTAAATCTGTAAAACCTTATCTACATTCTCATCCATTCAGAAAATATATCTTCAATATTTAGCCCTGGAGTTCATTATTATGGAATTCACTGTATATGTGTTATATCGTCCACCCAACAATGACCTTTATTAACTATATACATATTTTAGAATGAAAAAGAGAAGTAGCATATACATACTGTAATGCATCTTCACCATCTGTGAATTCGTCGTCATGGAAGCCATAATTCTCAATGAACTGTGGGGCCATTTGTTGCATCTGGTACTCAGAAAATACCTATAAGTCAGAATGATATGTAAAGTAAAAATATGTCAATATATGTAAAACTAGAAAGTACAATGGGTGATAAATCCAGGATCCATAAAAGTGGGGAAAAACAATACCAAATGCCTTATCCACAACAACGAAATTTCCAAAACATACTGCCAATAAAATGTCTTTCTTCAGTTGTTTCTACAATACATTTACCTTCTAAGCACTCTATTTAGAGATGACAACACTAGGAAGATGGGAAAATGAAAGGCCGTGTCTATAAAAATACGTTAATTTTTAATCCCAATTTATATATAAAGAACGTTCTGCTGCTTTCATGAACATTTTAAAGAGAACTTGCATGGCAGATGGTTAAAATATCTGTAGCAGAAAAAGAGAAACAAAACAGATCCATGGAGGAATAGGAATCTCACAGGAGTTTTATAATATGCTGAAAAGCTTTCAAAAGTCATTTACAATGAGTTTTCACATATATGACAAATCTGTCACTTCTGCCTCTATTAAATAGCCATCAGGAAAGAGAAAAATGCAAGGCCAAGTAGCCATCAGGAAAGAGAAAAAATGCAAGGCCAAATAGCCATCAGGAAAGAGAAAAATGCAAGGCCAAGTAGCCATCAGGAAAGAGAAAAAATGCAAGGCCAAGTAGCCATTAGGAAAGAGAAAAATGCAAGGCCAAGTAGCCATCAGGAAAGAGAAAAAATGCAAGGCCAAGTAGCCATTAGGAAAGAGAAAAATGCAAGGCCAAGCAGCCATCAGGAAAGAGAAAAATGCAAGGCCTTATATGTTGCAATGAAATAACAATGGGGTTTAATTTTGGCCAGTCTTTTTTCTTGACTTACTGGAAGAAGGAACAGAAGTACAGAGGGAGCTTATTATTTTCATTCAAACCTGATATATTAATATTTAATGCATGTACTTCACCTCATATTTAAATCAGAATGGCATATCTTTAATATGTTTGTGTCATTTAATGGCACTTGCTACACTATACTTCTGCATCTCTGTCACACCCTTTAAAAAAAGGGGGGGGACGGCATCTTCATTTAAAAATTTATTACCTCATAAAACTAATGAAGATTTCATTGGAAATAAAACATGTTAAGAAGACAGTAATTATCAGTCACAGCCACAAGGGCATCAAATCTCATGTTACAAATTTTCATCATAATCACTGTAATTTTCATTTGTAAACAAATTAGTACTAATACAGAATCTGACTACAAGAAATCTTAAGACATAACCTCAAAAACTTATCATTGTTGCTACGTCTCTAAAGTGAGGCAAGCAGTAGTGTAGTTGGGTGACAGACTAAGCTACAAACCAGAAGGTAGTGGCTTTGATTCCCAATTAGGTAACTGGATTTTTCAATTGACCTTATCCTTCCAGCACTATGACCCTGGGGTTGACTCAGCATCTAACAGAAATGAGTGCCAATAATCTTCTGGGGGGGGGGGTTAAGAGCAGCCAATACATAAGGCTAACAACCACACAGTCAACTCTCAGGCAAATGGCTAGAAAATGTGGGAGCCTCGACCTCTCACAACCCTATGGACCTCCACAGCCTGTTACTGGGATAGCTCTACCTTTCATTTGTGCCTGTAAAGCTTTATTATACACAATATTTCATGCATAATTTTGTAGGTATGAGGAGTAGGCCTTCTCGGCCCTGCACTGTGACCTACAGTGGTCTATTGTGCTTTATTCTGTAGGCATGTTTATTATCTTCATACCAAAATTAATATTCCTCTCTCCAATACTTAGACTGAGAGCTAAATCAAAATTTAGTATGTCCACAAGTGTCTCACACTGCACAAAAGCATTAAAGTAACAAAAGCTTCATGTTTTTGTTCCATCGTTAAACACAACTCAGGATCCTCCACTTAGTGGTGCTAGAGTTGCACTCTCTCACTCACAAGTTTGTAAGTCTGCTATTTTGTGGCTTGTTTTACAGCACTGTCAGTATCTAGACTATAGAGCAGGCATGCCCAACTTCAAACAGGTTGTGATCAACTTTTTAGTGTCAAAACTGTCAGTGATCTACCACCCCCTCCTATGGTCATACCTAGCTTTAAGCAAAAATATTGGTAAAAATAACACGACAAATGATGTTTATTGTAAAAGCAACATACATTGAAAGTACATACTACTTTAATACGTATTTTCCCTTCAAAATATGAATATAATCATATTATATTACAAGTGAATTTACATGCTTATCACATATAATTTCCTTACAGGCCTATGGGATCGACCAAAAATCATCCTGTGATTGACGCGTTGGACATGACTGCTATAGAGCATCAAATGGTAGGCAGACTGATGAATGACATATTGGAAAGAATATGGAAGGTGGCAGTCATGGCCTAATCAAAGTAACATCCGCCTCAATGTTACCACTGAGATCTGAACCAAGCAACCCCACATACAAGTTTGGTGTTACTGCTACAAAAACCACTTTAGTTCACAGTGCTATTTATTTGAGATCTGAGGTTATCATGGCAGCGACTAATGAAGAATACTTTCCTCTGAGATTTGACTGTGTAGTATGGCGAAGTTCCTCTGAAACATCAATGAACTTCTGCCATCATATAACACCATATATCAAGAAGCAGTACTCTTCCGCTTGATGCTATTTATTACAGAAAACTAAAAAGTACAACATTTCATTTTGTACGTTCACACCAAATTTCGCAATGACTGGTCAACTGTTCAAAAGCTGAAAGGGTAGATACAGGACATAGTAATCTCATGAGCCCACTTTTTCCACCTCTAAGAAAGGAAAGCAGGCTTGAAACTGGTTTTGTAAGAAATGATAAGGTCTACCTATAAACTTATAATATATGCTACCTGCTGTAAGGCTGGGTCCTGTGGGAATGGAATGTCTCTGTAATCTGCATCATCATCCTCTGAACTTGAATGAACAGGAGGAACACCACCCTATGATAAAAGACACACTATTCCTATAGATTAAAACAACATACAGTACCTCAACTCCTATCATAATCTTCAACAGAATGTATGAACCTGAATTCAAACTCTGCCACTGAACAACTACAACAAAATTCAGTTTACTGGTATGAATCACATCGTATACTTGGATATATCACAACTCAAAGAAAACAAAATATGTCTAATTCTGTGTATTTTGCAGGCACCATAAGCAAAATAAAAATGGGCAGTACATGTGCTGTCAGATGATAAAACATTACAATTTACAAAGAAGACATACTTTCTTCATATCAGCCTGTTCAGTTCTATTAACAAAATTTGATTTCTTGTATCAATTTACTAATCCACACTTAGGATTTCTATCAGTTTACTGTTATTGCCACTTAAACTGAAATACTAAGTTTCATAAATTGTAAAAATTCATCACCCGAGTGACTAAATCAATGACTGATGCCAAGTATTCAAGTTCACTTGCTCAGTCCATTATTCATATAAATCTGTGATTAGGTTGTACTTATCCAGTCACAACATTGCTTACCAGGCATATCTGATGTCGTTTATTAGTTTCTGCCAATGTGTTGGCTACAAACGCTTCCCATGCAGCCACAGTATCTGCTGCCACATGCTCTTTGATGAAAGCTCCTAATGGACCCTTTTCAGCCTGCTGCGCCACATGATTTGCTATCTTGATTAGATGACCCATATAACCTCTCCTGAGACCACCAGTTCTGCTTCTGTTAAATAAAAACCCACAAGAAAACAATACTGAGAACTTAACATTACTAATTCTCGAGGAATATAACACATTTCAGTGCTGCCCATTTTACTAGCACTCAAAAGGCTTTTCCCATTATCATAATAGTGTATATACTGGTATTTCATATTAACAAGATGAACAAATTCCAGCCTTCACTTCTTGTCATATTCTTCTCCCCACATTTTCTTTTATGTGGGTTGTCTTCCAACCATGCCTTTCCATCCAGCTGATAATAAAGCAGCAGAAACATCGTCAGGGCTAAGTACAGAAAAAATCCAGTTCATGCACCTTCAAGGTAGATAGTCTGATAAGAACCAAGAAAATGAATGGCTAACAGATTTATGACAGGCATAGCAAGGTAAAAGTGGGTTCTGAAATAGCTTTTAACAGACACCCTAGCCTCTTGTTACAGAAACTGCGTGACTGTCACTGAATACTGTCTTTGCCTGTGAACTCACAAATACTAATCAAAACAGTGTTTCTTTTAGACCAGGGGTCTTTTCGAACTGCGGGCCACATTAGGTAATTCAGCACTTTCAACGGGCCAGATAAAATAAGAAATTAGGTATATGAGCTTTATTGAAAGCACAGAATTTCCTAAACTAAATACAAAGTACGTGAAAATAAATTACCATATATTAATGACAACAGACAGTAGCAGCAAACGCTCATACTTTCATCACAAATTATATTAAAACAATTAATGTGAATGATGGAACTATTTTTGCATTCTTAAAATCTGATTAAATTGAGGTTCAAATTTTGAAACGCTAATCACAAGTAGCAACTTTAAATGTTCATCGGATAAATTTGCCCTGTATTTTGACTTGATGTACTTCATCTGGGAAAAAAGTTTCTTCACACAAATACATCGCANGCTGGAATCCAAATCAGCAAATCGTTTCCGAAATTGTTCTTTCAAATCTAAAATGACTAAATTTGCAAACGAGGAAGGAAATTCTGCTTCGCCCTTTTAATGCAACTCTGCACAGTATAGCATATGAACAAAGTTACATCNGTCATAAAAGTAATCCGGGTTCTTTATTGCCACACCTTGTATAGCATATGAACAAAGTTACATCTTTTCACTTGCCTTTCCAGGCAACTTTAAATTCAAATGGTTCATATGGTTTACCAGATCAGCAAAACTGCTAATTTCCAAAGCCACTTGGTATCTGATAAAAGTGGTTCGTGATGGTTTCTCTCGGTAAGAAATATATCAATTTCATTCCTGAGCTGAAAGAAGTGCGAAAGAACCTTTCTACAGCTAAGCCATCGAACTGCAGTATAATGTGTCAGGTCAATAAGCTCGGAATCACATTTACGAGTACTCACTGGAAAATTAGTTCAATTCGCGCATTTCTGCACAATTCTTTCATGGGCCATATAAAATCACATCGCGGGCCGTAGTTTGGAGACCCTTATTTTAGACAAAGGTGCAAGATGACTGCTTATGACATTCTAGCCCAAAACTTCACTTCCATGTCTGGATATTTCAGTCTGCTAACAATCCAGGCATTACAGTAATATCAAGCAACACAATCCAGCAGTAACTATCTGGTGCAATGTGGTATCTGACGAGAACATCGTTCTTTAACTAGGTACGAAGTACAATGCCCAAACTCACTTAGATGGTAAAGACACATCCTGTATCTTATGAAATCCACAGTTTTATTACCATGCTCAAGACCACCCATCACTGCACCCCATCCTGGGCCAGATGCATTCAGTCCATACTGCCACAATATCGCTTACATAATCATCCCATTAATGTAAAGGTCTGTGTGTGATCCCTTCCCCTTAAGTTATTCAGACTAAAATTTTGTATGCATTTCTCATCTACCCCTTGTATGCTACAAGTTTACTTCATCTCACCTTGCCATGTGATACCTAAATCGTAGAGAGCTTATGTCTTACACATGCATTGGCACTGGTCTTCCTGTACATCTGTACAGAATGTAAAGCCATTCTTCTTTCTGGGACATACCGCGTTTCAATCATTTCAATGGTAAGAAGTCTTGAGCCATGTTTGTTTCATTTTTCTGGACACTTCCCGCTAATTCGACCCCACTACTTCTGGTTGATTCAGGTGGTACACTGGTTACAGTAAGGTCAGTGTTCAACTGTTGTTAGTGATACTACAATTGATTTCAGACAATTTATAATCCATAAATCCTGGAGTACGAGTTTCTTGGTTGTTTTTCAGCAGATTCTGATTGGCACAAGAGTTATTGTGAGGAATCACAAATATTTAGGAGCTTAGCTTTTGTTGAGTTCAACCAAGCAGGTGGTCAAGGTTATACATAATTAAAAAAAAAAGTCCTTCTTATGAAACACAAATGCCTCTCTTTGTCATATATGACAACTGACCCAGTTCAACCAAATTCTTGTCCACACAGAAAATTTCCTTAGGAGGGGATTTACCAAATCATTTATGATTCAAATGAAATTTAATGCAACTCTAATGATTCAGTGATCACAATGAAAAAAAGATTACTTTGCCAATTTTGATGTACAACCAAATGCAAATATACTAACTAGCAATATATACAGACGAGATTACAAATTTTTCAGGCTATCTGCAAGGTGAAATTCAAGTCGTAGATTTTCTCTAGTAGAACACAATCTGCTCAATCCTTTGCAGTTAATTTCAAAACTACATGTGTCATCTGAAAGTGATATGTCATGAGATAAGGTCATGTGTAATGTTATCTGTGATTGTCTTTTCTCACGATAAAGACTTCAAAGAATACAACAGATAAGCAAATCGACAATATGTTAAAACTTGCCTCTGGAGAGGACATGAAAAGCAGTACTCAAATGTTCAAGTGGCTTTTGANGTCGTGTCTTATTTATACTCTGTTCTACTAACAGGCCAGCGAAAAATCTAACAATCTACAGCAAAACCATCAATTATTATGGGCGTTATAACATAGGTGTGCAGCTGAACGAAACATACACGTCGAACCCCCCCAGACGATTTAAATCCCTGACGAAACATACACGACGAACCACGGCAACGGGTTAAGGGCATTGGTATTCTGCAGTACTTCTTCCAGAAGAGAGAAACTGTGAATCAACACTTTCACGATATACAGAAGATGTGCTGTGAAAATTTCTTGGTGAAAGGAACACTAGAAATGGGTTTCTCTACCATGAAATGCTCTTATTCACCATGCTTTGTCTGTGCAAGAATTACTTGCCAGAAACTGTGTCACTTTTTGAATTCATCTCATCTAGCACCATGTGACTTTCTTTCATTTACAGAACTCCAGTTGTTACTATAGGATTCTGACGATGCTGTATAACACACAGAGATATTGGGTTTTCAGACTTTATCCATCGTCCTGGTTTTTAAGATAACTAAGAAAAACACTACATTTCAGAATAGGTGTTTTCCCTCACCTGAGGACGGAAACAGATCCAGTTTCCGAAACGTCATGTTTTTCTTAGTTATCTTAAAAACCAGGACAACGGATAAAGTCCGAAAACCCAATATCTCTGTGAGAACTCCAGTTATTACTCAAGGAGCAGATATCTGACATCACTGCAATCAAAGACAAGTCGCAGGCGATGTGGAGTTCAAAATACAGGAAAAACATATATGCTTCCAGCAATGGCTCAATTATCACTTACCGTACAACATCACAATGGAATGTGGAACAGTAGCCAAACGTTGTTAAAGTATAAATATAAAGAACAAGTCTGAAAAAATTTCAGTCATACCTCATAAATGTGGGAATTTTAGTAACAGGAATTTAAACAACTTTTTCTTTTCCTTAAGAATGAACTAGGCATATACTCACTGTTCAACTTCATTATCATCCCAAGCATCTAATATCCTTTGTATTAATTTGCATTTTTGAAAAATCTGAAATAAGAAAGATTCGAAGAATCATCAATAATATTGTTGCCATACTGAAAAATGATAATGTCACTGGTTCACATTGTACTTACATTTTGTAATAAAACATTTTCACTCATACCATTCTCAGCAGACAAACTTAGTTCTGAATTAAGTGCAAATGCTATACATTGTTCCACTTGAGAATGAAGAAAGTTGTTCCACGTGTATTTGAAAAACAAATCCTGAAAACAGACCATAACAGCAACATGTATACAAAAAAAAAGCAGAAGGTTCAACAATGAAAAGTCTCTGAATGACTGTCATATATCTCATATAAATATATTTCTGTATGCTCTACGAAATCTACAATTATTTCAGCATATTTACTACAGTGACAGTACCCCTGAAATACACCAAAGGGATTGGAGTCATGACAATGTTCAATTTGTATGTGGGAGGTGCTCAGTTTGAATTTCAGCCAGGACAACAGCAATTCCGAGCTTTCTCATGGTTTTCCACAGTCCCTCCACGAAAATTCCAGAATACTGTGATCAAGCCACAACCGATTCCTTCCAAATCATCCTTCATCCTACCATTTGACACTACACGGCCTGGTCACAGGCAGCATCATAAAATTATCCACAAACAATGAAATGCAAGCTGTCAATTGCAAATACAGTAAATACCTAGATATTCAGCATCGAAACATCTGGAAATCTCACACAAATGGCAAAAATTTCAAACAAAACACACTATTTCTATAGCTATTTAAAAATTCATTTGCAATACACATGTTTACCAACAACATGGTAGCTTTCATAGCTGCCGCTAGCAATATCTGTTGTCCTACCTTGCACAGATGACATTAATGTACATGCTAGATGAATTTGTGATTGGGTTATAAAATATGTATCTTTCTTCAATTAACCTGCTGTCAAATACTATGCCACCACCCCAAAAAAATGGTCTAGCTTTGTACTGGGTATCTGTGAGAGTTCTTTCAAGCAACTGGCAGACCCTATTCCCCACATATTCCAGATAATAAGGCATTTACTGTACTATCATTCAGTTAGTACCATTGTTAAAATCTGGCACAGTATGTACAACCTGTCACACAGATGTTACACAACCAAGATACTGTGGACAGTAGGCCATGTCACAGATCAGGCAGTTAGGTGCTGACTACCCAAGACAGCGGCCTGGGTTTGATCTCAGGTCTAGTCATGTGGGATTTGTGTTGAACAACACGGCACCAGGCAGTTTCTCTCTAAGCATTTTAGTTTCCCCCTGCCAATTCTAATTCCATCCAATGCTCCACACTCAATTATCATCTGAGGCTCGTACAACAGGTCCACTGAAGACTGACATACCAAGTGGAAGTCTCACCCCACACCATGAATTAAAAAAATGCTGTGGCCATAACAGAAGTGTGATACGTTAACATGAGTCATCCATTATGTACAGGCAAAATGTTCATGACAATATTTTCATAAAATGACGATTATGCTTTTGCCAAATTATGAACTCTTTCTGTGAGAACTGAGATCTAACCATCCAGGAAACTGGTAATGTTGTATAAAATACTGTGCTTCCAAATAAAACAATCTCTACAGCAGGTAAAGATACAATGACAATATTACCTGGTCAAAATCTTAACCACTGTCCATATCTCAGACCAAAGAAATTTATCAAAGCTTTGTGACTCTATATGTAAAATACAATATGAACCTTACCAATAACACTTCAGTTGTTCCTAAACTGGCTAATTCTTTATTTACATCTGCATTGTTTGTAGCAAGTAATGCTGCAATCAGTTTTGCTACTTGCAGCCTTGTGTTGCCAAACGGAGGATCTAGAGCTCCTACTGTTGTCTTCACTGGTGGCTTCTGTAAAACAACAAACTAGGGTGTCAAGATTCACATTATTTTCTTTTATGTTATAAGATCTGGAACATCACTGGTATTTCAGAGCAAAACAATACTTGATTATGTGCAGCTCATACAGAGATCAGATAAAGAAAAAAATACCGGACAGCAATGTACAGATTAATATCCATCAAAAGTTGCCGAGACAGCTCTCTGTATTTAAAAATGGACAGGACTTTCAAAATTTCAGACAATACTGAATAGTTCACCTTTCAATATACAATACAATACATATTTACAGTTCACAAATGCACACCATTTGGACAGATCCTGTTTCTGGGTAATGGCACTGTGCATGAAGAAGGAGGCAGTAACATCACCCCTTCACACACTGAACTGGTACCTCCAACATTTAAGCAATACAGTCTACTGCCACAGGACTGATCTACACTATAAGCATTAACAAGGGCCACTGGAAGTCACTCAGCCAATTACAACAGTGCTTCTCTGCATTTAATGAAAGGAAGCAGCACTGTCAACAATACAAGTGCAATATATTGTAATGGATTTGATCAACATGTTGCTGACAACAGCTCTGCAAACACAGTCCAAAACGCAACAGTAGAGGAAGCTGTGTTTTCTGTAGATCTGACTGATGCGCCAGTAGACTGGCTGGATAGCAATCATGTGATATGATTTTCCTGTGATGCATGTCCGTTTCACGGCTATATAAGTAACAGTCCAGGAGGGTTCAAAGCAGTTACAAGTTATAAGTTATGAGAGGGTAGTAGCAGAAGAAGAAAGCAAGCAAGCAAGCAGTAAGCTCGAGTACAGAAGAGTGCAAGTAGGAAGCATGATAAGATCTAACAAGCAATTTGAAGACTCTGTGTGTGCTACAGTGCAGTTGTATTGGGAGTGTGTGACTGAGACTTTTATAATTCCTGTGTCATAAATCCATGAAGACTGGTGCATAGACTGATGAGATTAGCATGGAGTGCTTTGTGGTGTGAAAATCAGTAACATGTTATATTTGTAGTTACGACCTGATAAGTATCCAATATATCCATTTACCAATTTGAACCCCGTCTTTAGTCACTGTGACATGTGACAATATATTGTGATGTGCTGCCTGAAAGCTGGACTATAAGACATCCATCACTATGCAACGGGCATTCAGAAAGCAGGCTACCTACAAAACCACTTCAAGAACACGAGAACCTAACAATATCTAAGCAACAAATTGTTTGAGGCAGTAAAAATGTATTCCCATTGCAACAAGAGATTCATTTGCACTGCAGGAGGCAAAACTAAACCTTGCAACAAGGTGTTCCTTATTCAGCCCAAGTGTAGGATATAACAGTTCATATCTGACAGGGGACCAGACTCAGACCCGAGAAAGACTGCCGTGGTAAGGACCAGCATCATATACAAAAGGCAGACCCGTCCTCTCGTCAGAGAGGGCGCCCCACAAAAACAAGACCATAAATGCCAAACAGTAATAAATATATACCAAGACTTATTGACTGACTGACTGATCGTCAGTCGCAATGTGACTTGGACTTGGAGACCAGTGACTTTGTATCCAACAAGAGACCAGTAGAGTTCACATCCAACAAGAGCTAAGGGCAGTTGAGCTCCGAGCAGAGCAGAAGACACTTTACCAAGATTAGCGGTGCAAGAGTGTATAACAATGAAGAGAAAACGTATGAAGACATTATAAGTCCAAATAATTGTATTTGTTAGTGTAAAGCGTGACTGTCCAATAAACATATCTGCCCAAATCTGAGACCCACACAATTTCTTGCCGCGTTGCCTAGGGAACATGCAACAATATTTAATATTCCATTCTGTATAATATATTAACACAAAAGCTGTCATCATGGAATTCAAACACGGACTTACATGTGGAGGATCAAGTAATAGGCTGTGAAAATCCTTAAGACGTGGCAAGATCACAGTTGTTGTACTTAAAACCATCTTAGAAGGCTGCTCATTTTCACTATTTCCTCCATTTTCCTCACCCTGACCACCACCTCCACCATACGTGTTATTTGAATTGGCATTCGGACCACTGTGTTAAAAGAAAAATAGTTACAGAAGTTATGTACAGGGAAAATATCACAACTGTCATTCTTAAATAACAATAAAGTATTTTATTATAATTTACTATAAACATGCATCCATACACTGAAACATAACCCCCCCCCCATTCATCCTCTCCACATGAAACTGAAACTTCCTTAATTACTATTGTAATGTGAATTTCAGTAACTTGGTGTCCAGACTGCGTATGCATGAAGTATTATATATTTCATGAATTAACTCTATTACAGAATGAAATGAGAATTGACCTCATACCAAAATACACAATTAAGAGTGTGTAATGAAATTACATTTACAAAAGCTACTACCAATGTCATGTTCAATGATACGCCAGATACCCCAGACTTTCTCCTCAAAAACAGATATAAAAAAATCTGGTCACCCAATGTGTGACAGGTGTCCACAAGAAACATTTTCACAGCAAAATTTAGGCTACACAAGCATACATAACAGAATCACTTCTTTGCTAATACTGAACAGGCTGGTCTAGACTTGCATTCAGCTGACTCTCAGTTCAGATTTCAGCTTGGACAACAGTTATCCTGACTTAAGATTCCCTGTGGATTTCCTCAATCCCTCCAAGCAAATGCTAGGGCAATACCTCAACTGGTCCATGATCACTTCTTTACAAACGTTTTCTAATTTATCATTCATGAGTCATCCCATTACCCGACATCTTAACACTGAAAGTGTAGCTAAATGGATGGAAAAAAAAGTTTAACTGTCTAGTTTTTCTCAATACTTATTAATACTAATGGTTAGATATTTTTGTTTTACAGTTATCTAAGTTACTTCAAACGTTCTCACACAGTTTTACATTTTTCACATTTATTTCTTACTTTATGTTACCATTCTATTAGAATAACTGTGAAAATAAATTTAAATACATGATCACAGTGTTTTCAGCAACTACACATAGAGTAGGATCTGTAATAATGCAAAGTATAATTCAGTCACCACTCTCTTAACACTCTTTATTAGTTAAAAAAGGTGAGGGAGCATTAGGCATATTAAAATCTCCCACAACAGACGCAATAACATTCTTTAATGTGGCCTACTACAAATACTATACCACCACATATATGGACATTGATATATATATTTTACAAGTGCCAAGTGAGGGAGAAAAAAAAAGTTGATCTTAACAAAAACTGCTATATCAGACACCATGTAACAACTGTCAGCATTCTGTGTGAACCACACAATCAGGAACATTTTTCTCTGTGTTACAGTTATTAGGGAGTTTTTATATATATTACTTACTCATGAAACAAGAGAAGCTCTGACAGCCTATATTGGTGGTGTGGTACAGCAGGGAATGAAACTGGCACTTCTAATGAGAATAGGATCCCAAGGATTGTATGGTGTCTATGTGGACTGTACATAAACTGCTACGAATATAGGCAACATTTCCACACTACCAATAAACACAAGGTGGATCTATGCATCCTGAACAAATCAGCATTATAGAGAAGCTGTGTTAAATGAAGTGAATCGGCATTTAAGAAAGGCTACCTAAGAGCAGCGTTACAAACTATAAGAACCTGATGAAACAACACTTAACTGTCATTAGGTCTGACAACATACCTTGGTTTACTACAGTCAAGTAGAGTTAACAATACGGAGATTCCACCAACGATTGATGACTCACTTTTCTCCTTCCCTAACATGTGATCCAGGAGCTGCTTTACAGTTTCAGGGCTGCAAAGAAAACTACTCGATATACAGCTGCTGTTTAAATAGTTAATTTCCAAGTAAAATTCTNTGACGTTTCGGAGGAACGTATCGCCTCCATCTTCAGGGTAGAAGGAAAAATAAGAAAATCCACAAGCAAAGAGACCGTGAGTCTGCTTGTACCGGTTCTCGCAGTCTCTTCGCTTGCGGATTTTCTTATTTTTCCTTCTACCCTGAAGATGGAGGCGATACGTTCCTCCGAAACGTCAGTTAACACCACATCTACATGGTGCCACATCCCAGAAGACTGCTTTCTTCAAAATTCTTCATGTTGTTTACATGTGTTTAGCCATGAAAACATAAACTCTAAAAAGCATGAAGTAATTGAATGAACTTCTTACGTACGCCTCGATAGTGTTAAGTATTGGGTCTGGATCTGACCGCTCTGTTGAAGTATGCTGGTTTTCCCTTGACATTTTAATAACATCACAGATAAGTTGTGCAGCATTACAATGGCGTTCAGGATCAACTGAAGGTTCCAGCAATGCAATGAGACATTGTACCACTTGCTGACTATCCAGCCACTGAAAAACAAATTTAAAATTAACTCCACACAAGGAAAATACAGGCATAAATACAAAAATTTCTATTTACAAGTGCTGTGACATGATGCAGTGTGTTGTAACAAGGCAAACAGCAATTTCACCACGACAATGCACCTCACCGCTCACCATATATGAAACCCTGTGACCCTCTTCCAGTCTCTAAAGTTAAAATTTGAAAGGCACGTGTGGAAACAAGCGGACATAATGCAACAAAAACTGGTGCTTGTCATTCCTAAAATTGAATCTCAGGTCCTCCCAGCAGCTGTAAGTGTGTTATGTCCTCAAGGAGCATACTTCGAAGCGGATTAACCTCTATCCCCAGAAGTACAGTATCACAGATAAAGTCTCCTTATTTTTGAAGGGACTTCCTAGTTTCATGCTATTATGTCCAGTTCACTGATACTATGAAGAAAGAAACCTCTATAAAGGTTCGGCCACACAGAGCGCTACACTATGTTCGTTACATATGCTGTGTACACTATGCAATGCAGCTAACATAGGGAACATAGCATACATAAGTCTGTCAGACCAGTCACATTGGCAATAAAGGGAGATATTTTTCTGTTTGTATAGCAAACATAGCGTATGTAGCACTGTGTGGCCGAACCTTAAAGCTACAAAACTAAAGCAATGCAAGAACCAGTTACAATGTTTTTTGTATTGCCTTCTCAGCTGCAGGAAAATTATAGCAAGTGATGGTTCTCACACATATAAGACAGTGATTCTTTTTGAACAAGCTACTTATATTGCATCTGAGGTACTCAGAGCAGTGACTATGAAAAGTACAATCTTCTGGTTGGCTCTGGTTGATGCCTGCTTATTGCTGGTCTCCTGTTTGGCTTACTCTTAGACCCTAAAGATGCAGGCGATATGTTCCTTCATAACGACGGATTCTGTCAAACAGCACAGAAGAATATACTCTTAAATTCAACTTATACTTACATTCAGAATATTCTGTTTCGTCTCTACTCCTTCTACATGTGTGATGAGCTTCAACATTAAATCCATTATGGCAGATGTGCCCAGGTGCTTCAGCAGCAAACTGATACAGTTTTCCTTCGATTTTAAAAACTCCAACACCTGCAAACAAGTGAACTGATAGGAATACCAGTTCTGGGGAGAGGGGGAAAAAAGGAAAGAGAGAGAGAGAGAACAAATATTTATATAACTTCTGTTCCAAAGGCGCTTATCAATAAAGCCTACAATAATGTCTACATCTGGGCTTCTTTGTATATGAGTCTTATTTGTAACCAAGTATAAACCAGAACCAGATATCAACAGAAACAACTAAACTTCGAAGTTATGAAGGCAATACCCATCAAGAAAGATGCCACTCTCAAACCACTGCAAGAGTACGGTACAGAACCAATAGTACATATCACAATTTAACTTAAATAAGCCATGCAACTCGTAATATAATTCCTGGACACCCATTCATTAACCACAGGATACTAATTTTTTAATCTTGAAAACAGTCGATGGTCATGACAACCAACACTTCTTAAAGCAGTAAAATTGGACTGCTCTTGGAGAACAATTACTACTTCATGAACACAAGAAATTGTTATATACTACAGTAAACTCTCAATTATCTTCAACAACAGGGAGAAGCATGACAGACAATTAAAAACAAAGGATAATCCAGAAACTTGGAAATAAATAAAACAGAAAGCTCAACAGAGATATGTAGACCTACAGACTATTGCAAACTGATGTAAAGCCTCACTGATGATGGCAACTAGAGGCAATTACAGGAAGTTATAACCAGCAATTAAGCAGTTCCAGAAAGCTCTGCAATTAATCTGCAAAGTAGATATGCAACTGAGAATTTACTGCATGTCACGTAAAAGAAATGAACAATAAAGCCTCCTTTAATAGTCATATAATAAAACATTTGTCCAGACTGACATAACATTTTAAAATTTAAAAGTGATTTCTAATTTAGCAGACATATGGCAGTGTCATCTAATGCATTGATTTGCAAGCCATTCTGCACAATTATAGGGTTCCATAATATTCATCATGAATATCTGAGTAAAAAAAATGACCCAACATATCACCCGAACAACAAATTTTCTTATGCAATGTAATAAATTGTTGCTATTCAAGAGTAAATAATGTTTCCTGTCACTTCTGGTACAATTTTACACTGACCACTAGAGGCCAGTCATGTGCATTAACACAAAATAGCAGATGTTAGATATGTAATACTGAATATAGGTACCTATGTATTCTTTACCGTCAGTCCAACTGACCTTGTCACCACAGGGGTTATGACATACACTCAAAACAATGTTTTGATCTAAGTACCTGCTATCCAGAGTTAACATGGTGAAGAATGTTAGTCATAAAACTTAAATAATTTATTGCAGGCTGTACAGGATTTTAGGTTCTCAGAATAGTGAATACTAAGAGTAACATCCTCAGAGGTGACAGTATAATTTGGTAGGTAACTATTTATCTACCGAGCTACACAGCTTTACATCCTAGAAGAGTGGTCACAAATTCTTTTATGACACTCTCCTAATGTGAACAAAAGCTTTAGTTAACAATTTAAAAACAATAATCTATATAAATAAAAATGTAACTGTCCATTTGTTACCCTTCGAAAATCTCCGCAAGTTCTTCACCGATTGCTTCGAAATTTTGACACAACGTTGCATTCGAATACGCGCGTTTTTATATACCCATTATATATATGGCACACCTGTGACAGGTAAAAACATGCGTCTTTTGAAAAACAGAATTGGAATTTGGAATTCAGAAGTCACCCCTATGGAAATGCTAGAACAGACCGTTGCATAGGAAGTACCAATAGCGATACTGTATCGAATCTCCATGGTTACGACGAATACACGGAGCGTTCCTACAAAGACAACGCAATAACAATTGGTCATCATGTAGGAATCACGGAATCAACAAAGCAGCGTTTCCGCGGTTATGACAAGGGCTCATTTGCATAGCAGCGCCCGAGGGTATTAAAGGGGGTTGAATTCATTCGCCCAGTCAGTCTTGTGTAACCAGTAACTCTAATACTGCAAGTGGTGATAACTGTAAAGTGTGCAAGTGAATTACAATAAAGATTCGCTATAATTAATACGGCATAAAGTTATTTGTAGCGTGACATACCCAAACAGTCTACATGCATTACTGACGCGTGCAACACGTCACATCCACACTGGAATTTGAGCTGTGTCGTTTACCATAGCGTTCATTTCATGAGTATAGTTTATTTTTTCTTCTTTCATTGTTTTTCATTTCGTTTTCTTAACTGTTTTCCTTATTTTTCAGTGCAATTGGCATTGGAATTGAGCTGTGTCAATTGAACTGCATTTGAATTGAAATATTTCGTTAGTATTTTTTTTTTCTTCGTTTTCCAGGTCGTGTTCTTTCCTTTTTTAATGTTTTGCAATTTTATATGTTTTTGTTATAACTTTCTTTCTTCCTCTTCAGTTCAATTGACCTGCTTTAGTTCATCCAAATAATGCCTCACAGAAGATCAAACTTAGGTCGTTGTACTTCTGGAGCGGAAGCAGTGCGACAAGTAATTGCAAATCAAACTGGGGAAGAACGGGCAGACTGAGCCACAGCAACGCGTGGCCGGGTACAGCTAGTTACTAATAAATATTAATTACATCTATAAGACATGTTTTCTGCTAAATTGCAAGCCTGTAATTTACTGTGGCCTTTCTTTAATAATAATTGTATTATAATTATAAACAGTCAGCATTTTCTATGGCTCTGGAAGAAAGCTTTATATCCTCCAGAAGAGACACAGGTGCCATTTTGAGGAACAATGCCCTACAACACTGTACTCTTAATAGATCACATAATGTGATATTGCTGATGGAGATCCCAGTTTTGAGGTAATGACCCTGCATACAAATTGTTGGTACTGCTGCTTCAGAAACAGCAATTTCCAAAATTCCAGCAACATGCCCCATTTCTACAGTGACATCACATTCAAAAATAGGATCAAAGATATATAAAGCAGTTAGTGGCTAGCTTCCAACTTCAGCAGCCCCAGTTCATTCCTAGTCAGGACATCTGTGATTTGCAGTTGACAAAGTTCCACTGGAGCAGGTTTTCTCCAAGTACTATACTTTCCCCTGACAACTTTCATTCCACCAACTGCTACATATTCATTAATCATTCTACCACTAATTCTAAACATTCGCAATACCAAAGGTGTCATTACATAACTCCTTAAAACATCATGACTAAAATTCAGCGAGAGCCTGATATCAGGTGTAATTTATCACCACTGATTTTTCGCCCAATGATGTACTCTGATGGCTGTGGTAGGTCTGTTACATTCAAGTGATTACCTGTCTTGATTACTGTGAATGGGACAGAATGACTGGATTACTTATATGACAAAAGATGTAGTTTAGTGATAATTTTGAAGAATTAATTTAGATATTTTATAATTTACTCTTTACAGCAGATATCAAACTGCATGCTGGTAGTTAAATGCTTTAGGGAGAAAATTCTTTTCATGTGAATTTCAATTTCAGTGTGGAGTTCCATCAGTGCTCCCTACGATCAACAATTAAGGCAGCACTTCATTACAGGATGATACTGCATGTTTTGGTGCAGTCTTTAGCATCTTACAAACAAAACAGGCCACTATTCTTACCACATAATTATTTAATTATACCAAAATTCATAACTGTGTTTCTGAACTTTTAAAACCACAAGAAGCTAACCTGACACCTTCAGACAACAACTATAATAAAGCAGACTTTTTTTTTTTACTTTCTAATGGAGCTGAGCCGTTCTTGAGGAGACGCCAATTCTTCAGCTACTCAAGAATTTCCCAGCATTTTATGGAACCCAAGGGTTCATTACCATGTTCACAAGAGCCCTCCACTGGTCCCTATCCTGAGCCAGATCAATCCAATCAATACCATCCCATCCTATCTCTCTAAGGTCCATTTTAATACTGTCCACCCACCTAAGCCTTGGTCTTCCCAGTGCTCTCTTTCCTTCTGGCTTTCCCACCAATATCCTATATGCATTCATCTCCCTCATTCATGCTACATGCCCTGCCCACCTCATCCTCCTTAACTTATCTTTCTAATTATACTTGGAGAATAAATGAAATGAGTACAAGTTATGAAGCTCCACATTATGCACTTTTCTCCAACCTCCCTGTCACTTCACCTCTCTTCGGTCCAAATTCTCCTCAACACCCTCAGTCTCCGTTCCTCCCATCATAAAGCAAGCTAGAACATCTAATTCCAAATCTCAACTACAGTTTACTGATGTAAACTGCTCATATATTAAAATAAACTGATTGTGAAATCTGAACTTCAATGATTTTTCTAAATTAAACAGATGATCACAAAATTTAACCTTAAAGTGTTAAAATATGTTTCCTAGATTTTCACTATTTAAACTTATAGGTTATAACATGAAGCCTTCTGTTCTATTTATTTCATCTCAGGATAAAATCTTGTGGGGTCATGAGAAAACCCAAAATTTGTTTTATTTCATGCAAATTATTAAAATTTATGAACAATGATGAAACTGTGTGTAGAACCGGTGATAAAGCTTAAAAACAGTTATATTCTAATATTTCTCATAGGTACAAACTAAGAAGATACCAAGAACATTAAAGGAATATAGACAGATCATGCTTCGTACAACAGTATTAAAGATGTAGGTAAAATAAATATATATACTACTATATGTATAATCCTAAGACTCGTTTCAAGGTTTCTTCTGCCAACAGGAGAAAGCATGTAATGCGGTGCCTAAAACCTTTACTTGAGTGCACCACTTTTTACTGTAGTCTGTATCCCACACAGTGTCATACAACATACAGCTCGTATGTTGCAAAGATGAACCTCTCATTATAATAAAGTTACATCCCGCCCCCCATTCAACTAACAGGCAGCAAACTATTCATGCAGTTTTTATATTCCGTAGGTAACTGCCAACTGCTCAGAATATGGAATCCGAAACAACGATCACCTACCGAGTGTTCTTTTCTAATGCATTTTGTGGTACACAGTTTTGATTTGGAACACCCACATCGCAGAGTTCCTATAAGAATGCATCTGAACATAGAAATCAATACATAAGGGCAATATAATATCTGTTCATCT